CTCGCTGCCGACTTTGAACGATGTGCTCTGCACGGCCACGTGGACCTGACCGCATCGCTTGTCATGCCCACGTCGACGATTGTGTTGGACTCGAAGGCGCTTCTCGTCCACCGTGCGACTGTCGATGGTGCCGATGTGGCGTTCTATCATGTCGAAGACGCTGTCTTTGGCACGGCCTTGCACGTGGCTCTTCCGGAGAACTTGGCACTTGGAGCGTCATTCACGACTCGCATCTACTACGAGACGACGCCCGACAGCTCTGCCGTACAGTGGTTGCCCAAGGAGCAAACGGCAGACAAAACCCACCCGTACTTGTTCACGCAATGCCAAGCCATCCACGCGCGATCCCTTGTTCCTTGCCAGGATTGCCCGCTGGCGAGCTCCACGTACAGTGCCGCGATTACTGTGCCATCTTGGGCAACTTGTTTGATGAGTGCTGTGGCGACGGCGGACCCGTTGTCGAACGATACCGCGGCCACCAAGACGTTTACGTACCACCAGGCTATCGCCATCCCGTCGTATTTGATTGCTATCGTGATTGGTGCTCTGGAGAGCCGTGAAATCGGCCCGCGCAGCCGCGTCTGGTGCGAGCCCAGTTTGGTAGATGCAGCTGCGTTCGAGTTTGCACAGACTGAATCGTTCATCCAGCACGCCGAAGCCATCATGAACCAGGAGTACGTGTGGGGGCGTTACGACCTCGTGTGCCTCCCGCCGTCGTTTCCGCTAGGTGGGATGGAGAACCCGTGCTTGACATTTGCGACGCCAACGCTGTTGGCCGGCGACCAGTCGCTCGCGGACGTGATCGCGCACGAAATTGCCCACAGCTGGACTGGCAACTTGATCACGAACCACACATGGGAAGACTTTTGGCTGAACGAGGGGTGGACGATGTGGCTCCAGCGCAAAATCATGGCGCGCATCCACTCGCCGCTGCACTTTGACTTTGATGCGAGCATCGGGTGGAACGATCTCCAGGACTCGATTGACATGTACGGCGCCGACCACGAGTTCACCAAGCTCGTCCCGACATTGGACGGATGCGACCCGGATGACGCGTTCTCGAGCGTGCCGTACGAGAAGGGCTTCAATTTTCTGTACTTCTTGTCCAAGTTGGTCGGTGATAGCGAGTTTGAAAAGTTTGCGCAAGCGTACGTCCAGCATTTCAAGTACAAGACTGTGACAAGCGCCGACTTCAAGGCATTCTTCATCCAGCACTTCACCCCAACCAAGTCCGCGGAACTCGCGACCGTCGATTGGGAGTTGTGGTACTATGCGCCAGGCATGCCTCTGCGGCCGGCCTTCGACACAACGATCAGTGCTGCGTCGGCCATGCTCGCGGATAAATGGCTCCACGCGACGAAGGAAGGCATTGCGGCTGGCCAGCACAGCGCATCGGATGTGGCAGGATGGACGTCGTCGCAGCTGGTCGCCATGCTCGACACGCTCCTCGAAGCTTGTGCTGCTCGACAACAGTACTTGGACGTGGCGGTCCTGCACACGCTCGGGGACGTGTACGGTCTGCTGTCGACCCAGAACGCCGAGATTCGCATGCGGTTCCATACGCTGTGCGTGCGATCGGAAGCTGCATTCATCTTGCCCCACGTGGAAGCATTTTTGAAAGAGCAAGGCCGGATGAAGTATGTCCGACCGTTGTTTCGAGACTTGAACAAGTCCAAGTGTGGTCATGCCGCCGCTCGCCGCATCTTTGCAGAATGGAAAGGATTTTACCACCCAATCTGCCGCTCGATGGTTGAAAAGGACCTGGCGTAAACACCTCTCGCCCTGAAGAACATGCCGACATATCGCCAGGAATAGAACTGGATTCGTCATCAACTCCACCAGACAATTGCAGTGTCGTGGAGCTATTGCCCCTGGCTGGCATGCCTTTCAAGCAACTGCTCGCAATACAAATTGAGCTTGTCGACGTTCATGTTCAAATGTAAACGTCTGTATTCCTCTCGGGATGTGGTCCCTCATGCGCATGACGGCAGGGCACTCTACTTGCGCGATTAAAACGACCCCTGCATCGTGGCGCTCCCATACTGAAAGCCCCTTTCCAAAGCATTCGAACAGCGGCAGTGCCATTTTCGGACGCTCGCAGAACAAATCCCTTGATGGCACAGTTCAGTTTAATTTGCACAGCAGCATGACGAACGACGGCAAGGGAATAGCAGTAAATATCTGAAGGTTTATCGAAGCAGGATGGCACACACCCCGTGCCATGACTTAGAAGTCCTTTCAACTTGGAAACGAACGACACATTACGCAGAAGGCGTCACGGCGGCTTCGGCCGGAGTTGGAGTGTCTGATGCGTCGTCAATGCCTTGGGACTTGTCGACGACGGAGTCTCCACCTGGAGCAGCTACTGCGGCCGCCTCTACGACAGGGACAAACACAGCTGGGATCGCCATCTTTACTTTGACGTCGACGCGGCTCTTTGTGAATTGAACGGACGGTGTGACCCACGTGCCGCACGAGCACTGGCTGCCACTCCACCCAAACGACCCCAAGCGGGAATTGCATTTGGCCACCGGACAAAACAGTTTGCCTTCGGCAAGCGATGCCTCGTCCATCCATTCCTTCGTATCTGAAAGGAAGTACGAGCTGCACTCGACCGCGCCAAGCTTTGCTTCCTTCAGCTTCTACTGGCAAGTCAGTTGAGCTTGACGACGACGGCATTACCTTTCGCTGCGAGATCTGATGCCTCTGCGGCTCGTGCTCCATCAAGTCATCGCTCGTAAACAAAAGCGCACGGCACATGCGGCAGACATACTCCGCTTTCGACTCGTCCGACGCCATGCCGACCTCCACCGCCGGTCGTGCAAGAAACCAATGGTGGTCCACGACGACGCCCGTTGGCCACACGTCGAAGTAACCCGTCCAACTTCGAATTCGACCCGGCATGTTCACCACGGGTGCGGCGGTCCTGCCGTCCTTCCCAGGTACGCCGGTCGAAACTAGCTCACGCTCCAACGCAAACACAGGCGCGCCGATTTATGTCGCCCTTGCCGCAACGACACGAACGATGCATACGACTCCTCGACATCATGGTCGCCATTCGAAGTGTGCCTTCTTGCGTTAGTCCCTCACGATGTACTAAGTGATGTACTATGGAAATTTCACACACCAATGGAATAGTGCCCTTGCCACGGTGTCGATGAATTCCGATCGCGTAGTGGACACAGTATACTAAACCCAACCTTAAAAGTTGGACGGCATACGAATGATGTAGATGCGATTCCGTTGGGATGTTCAAGTTATCCGGATGTATCCGGAATGGGCAATGTGAAGCCGAGCAGAGTGGACGAGAGATTCCTCGGCCGTGGCTCCACGTGCATGCGCGGGATGGCTATCGACGAACCACAGCACGTGGTGTCCTTGCTGTAGTGGGTCATTGGCACGCGCCTAGCGCCCGTGACCTCCACCAAAGGTCAACGTTGAGGTCGTGGAGATCCTGTCGAGCTCGTCGTTCGTGCAATGTCGCCCCTCCTTCCCGTGGAAGTTCAAGAAACGACCAACGGACCCGCTGGACTCCCACCACTCCTTCTCTCGCGTCCAAAGAGGCGAACCCCGTCGTGATCATGGTCGTTGTGGACAAGCACTCCCTGGCGAATATTGCCGCCATCAAGACCTCCCATCTGGACTTCCACTTGACCGCCGACTTTGACCGCCACGTCCTCCATGGCTACGTTGAAATCTCGGTCACCGTCGTCGAAGCCACGACCGAGTTGATCCTGGACACGCGTGCGTTGTACATTCAAAAAGCCACGATCAATGGCGAGCACGTTCTGACGACGCTAGTGGAAGACGCCGTGTTTGGCACGGCGTTGCACGTGCCCCTCCCGGTGGGTGTGCGCGCCGTCAACTCGACGTTCAAAGCGCGCATCTACTACGAGACGACGCCCGACACGACTGCGATCCAATGGTTGCCCAAGGAACAAACCGCCGACAAAACGCACCCGTACTTGTTCACGCAGTCGCAAGCGATTCACGCCCGCGCGCTGTTTCCCTGCCAGGACGTGCCGAGCATCACAGCTGTGTACAGCGCTGCCATCACTGTGCCTTCGTGGGCAACGTGCTTGATGAGTGCCGTGGCATCATCGGACCCAGTCCCCCACGCATCCAAGCCGCTCACGACGTTTTTCTACGAGCAGAATGTGGCCGTGCCGTCGTACTTGATTGCGTTGGTCGTTGGGCGTTTGGAAAGCCGCGACATTGGACCGCGAAGCCGCGTGTGGAGCGAACCAAGCCAGGTCGACGCTGTCGCGTACGAGTTTGCTCAGACCGAGGATTTCCTCAAGAACGCCGAAGAGATCATGGGCCAGGAGTACGTGTGGGGACGGTACGACTTGGTGTCGCTCCCGCCGTCGTTCCCGTTTGGCGGGATGGAGAACCCGTGCTTGACATTTGCGACGCCGACACTGATCGCTGGCGACCGATCGCTCGCGGACGTGATCGCGCACGAAATTGCCCACAGCTGGACTGGCAACTTGATCACGAACGAGACGTGGGAACACTTTTGGCTGAACGAAGGGTGGACGATGTGGCTCCAGCGCAAGATCATGGCGAAAATCTACACGGATTTGCACTTTGACTTTGACGCGATCCTCGGGTGGACGGCGCTTCAGTCGTCCGTGGACGCATACGGCGCGGCGCACGAGTTCACCAAGCTCGTCCCGACATTGGACGGATGCGACCCGGATGACGCGTTCTCGAGCGTGCCGTACGAGAAGGGCTTCAACTTTCTGTACTACCTGTCCAAGTTGGTCGGCGACAACCAGTTTGACATGTTCGCCAAGGCGTATGTGCAACGATTCAAGTACAAGACCGTCACAAGTGATTCGTTCAAGGCATTCTTCATCGAGCATTTCACCCCGACCAATGCCGCGGAACTCGCCACGATCGACTGGCACACGTGGTTTTACGCGCCAGGCATGCCCAAGCGGCCGGCCTTCGACACGACGATCAGTGCTGCGGCCGAACGCCTCGCCGACCGCTGGCATGCGGTTGGAGCGACCGCCTCGGCGTTCGACGCCAAGGACGTCGAGAACTGGACGTCGTCGCAGTACGTTGTGTTCCTTGAACGGCTGCTTGACTTGAGCGTCGAACACAAGCGATTCCTTGACGCCGCCACGTTGGAAGCCCTCGGCAACTTGTACAACTTGACCTCGACCAAGAACTCGGAAGTTCGCATGCGGTATCAAACCCTCGGCGTACGGTCGGAAGCGGCGTTCATTTTGTCGCACGTGGAAGCGTTCTTGAAGGAACAAGGCCGCATGAAGTTTGTCCGACCATTGTACCGCGACTTGTACAAGTCCAAGTTTGGCGCGGCCGCCGCTCGACGCATCTTTGCCGAAGCCAAGGAGTACTACCACCCGATTGCACGCAAAATGATTGCCAAGGATTTGGAATTATAGTCGAACCGTGCGAAGGATAAGCGTGAATTGACAGAGAATACTCTATTCCCGCGCTTTTATCCGTGATACGCAGAGCGCATGTACTACCTGGCATACTCCGAGAAGAGGTTCGTCCGAGTGGGTGAAGGTGCTCGATGACAACTTGCTGTCCTTCTCAGCAAGTCGATTCGGGTGACAGGACGGTGGAGCGCGAAGGTGGAAGCCAAGCAGGTTGGAGGGCGCACTGCGGCTGGGAAGGCGATCGGAAGCGAAATCACGTCAATTGGCGGTTCGTGTCGTAGCGTGAGAGGTGTTGTCTCCTTCTTCCATGTTCTTGTGGGTGATGCAGATCCCGGCACCAGGCCCACTCCGCCGAGATTGTCATCCGGATAGTATTATCCGAAATTGGATGACAGATCTTAACACGACAATGGAGTCGTTGCTGCTCGCATGCCAGACTCGTGCCCAAGTCGAAGACGTCCTCGAGAAGGCGTTTGATGGGCTTCTCTATTCCAAGAACATCGGGGGGGTCACAAAGGATAAAGCTCAGGAACAGCTGCAGGACGTGGTGGCAGCTGCATTGACGCCAGAGTCTTCGTCCGCACTACAGAACGTCCTGCATGAAGTCACACGCAACTCCCAGTTGCATCAATTGTTGGTGGACATCCTGAGTCCCAAACGACGTCAGATTTGGAGACAAATTGCAACGACGACAACGTGCTTCCCCTCACTGCCACACCACGTAGACCTCAATTGGTACGTCGACGTGCCCGTAGCTTCCGACGCACCCATCGCTCGCCGTGAGCCAATTGCAAGTGTTGAGATTGCTATTCAAGCCACTCCCACTCGCACCACGATGTTTCCACCTTTGCGGCACATAACATTCCAGGTTGATCGAGGTACGAGCGAACAGCTCGCTTCTAAACACCTCACGGTCGTTGTAACGATGCCATCCCGCGTAGACGGAGTCGAGAAAGTCGTGTCAGAGCTGCATAAAATCCGCGATCAATTGCAACGGCTTGAGACGTCCACGAGATTGGCACCTCCTGAGGAGCCCGATGACGACGAGTTCCCAGCCCGGGCGAACACTACATGCCCAAGCGCCGTGCAGTGCATCTGCAGTAGTCGCTTGTCCATCCATGATTAATTTGAAGGCCCAGAGACTTCGCTGCACCGTGAAAGTTTGGGAACGGTCACGGAACATGAACATCATGTGGGCGCCCTGGGCGAGACCGAGCGAAGTCCATTCACGTTCGAGTTGGAAAAATCAAATCCATCTTGCCGCAGGGGATCTGCATCACCGCTCGAAATCAATAGGGAAATAGGAACGTGTGTCGAGTCACCAACAACGACGACAGGTGCGGGGTCGACTTGGGTTACGTTTCATTCGTTCTGGATTCGCTAGTCGTCGGCATCGTAGCCACGGTTCAGGCCCTGTTGAATGCTAGACCTCTTGTCCTGCACAGGCGCCATGAATCATCCAAGCAGTTCATGGTGGGATCGTTAGGTGTACCTTGCGTCCGTCGTCTTCGTCGTCTTCGTCGTCATCTGCCGAGTTGAGTGCGCCGATCTTGGCCAGTCGCCTCGCCAACTGCGTGTGGGACGTGGTCAACCAATTGTGTTCATGCAATGGATCAACCTACATTGACAGTCGGGAACTCGTCCTCATGGCCCAGGGGTACGTCGTCGGTGAGCCCTTCAAATCCGACGATTCGATCGTCGTTGGCGATGCCGTTTTCAAAAAAGATGATTGTTGGCAGCACTCGCACGACCAACTTGGAGATGAAGAATGGCGCTTTCTCAGCGTCGATTTTAAGGACTTTGACTTCGACGTGGCGCTTGGCGAAGCGACCGAGGTGCTATCCCGCCCCATGAGCATGCCACGCATCATGTGGTCTGTTGTGAGTACCATGTCGATGATCTTGCAGCGTTCAAAGTCGCGGTGGTAAAAATGCACGAGAACGCGTGCGCTTGACGTTACTTCCTTGAGGAACTCGTCTTGGACGATCTCGCTATTCGGGAAAGGGTCAGGAACATGTCGGGTGCGCTGTGCATCGAGTGTACCGGTAGTCACCATGGCCTTTCGCCAAGTTTTCAGCCTTTAGCTTGTATTGTTCCTGGAGTTGTTTAAGGCGAATTTCTCGCAATCTACGTGCATTGCTGCGTCATCACCGTGAAGATATGGCAAAGATAGCGCACCGAATGAAGTCAGGATCTTGGTCCAAGTCATCGTCGAAATCGTCTTCGTCGTCGCTCGCGGTGGTGGTTTCCTGAGCATTTTGCAGGCTGTTTGGCTCGTAGTGCTCTGGCCGGATGGTCTCACGGATGTGCTTGTTCTCTTGGGCGTCGAGTTTCGCCACAAGTTGCTGTTGTTGGACGAGCTGTTGGTGCTGCCGCTGCAGCGATTCGTGCTGCTCGCGGACCTTCAGTTGCTCCATGGCTTGTCCCATGCGGTCTGAGGCTTCCAAGTGATCTTCGGCACCAAAGAGGCTCGACCCGCCCGCCATGCTAAATTTTGCCGCCATCGTCGGTCGTCGATCCTGCTCCTAGTCCTCAAATATGGAAACTCCCGCTGCCAAATTATCCGGAATTTCGGATAACTAGAATTTGAACTCCAACCAACAGATTGACAAGGCGCAGTATGAGGTGCGTCGGCGAGATGGTCGCTGTCGAGCGGCACTAATGCGATGATCCGTAGCACACCATCGGCATCGTATGACGAAATATGCGAAAAGGGCAAAGAGGAAGCCGAACAACGCCTGATCGATCACTTCGTACGCCAATATACACCACACAACCAATGATGCTGTTGGGTCGTCACACCGACATTCGTCGTCTTCATGTAGAAAGACAATGGTGGCGAAGTGTGGAACATTCGGTCGGGTTGCATGGGATGTAAAACGAACCCGAACAACGTGCCGCTCAAGGTAGATACGACTCGTGGATCTCACCTTGCCTGGCTCAGGTCGTACGAACACCGACTTGTAGACATGCAGCCAATGCAAAACCGCACTTTTCTGCAGCAAGGACTGTCAAAAGACTGCGTGGAAGACCCACAAGCACGAATGTCTTGTCATCTCGACCATGTCCCACAACGAAGCAGACAACGCCGAGATTTCCAGCATGTACTCGTTGTCACCAAACTCTTTCCAGTTGAACTCACGTCTACAGCATTACGTCGTGCCTGGAAACGTTCTCATGGAGCCATGATATTAAGACCACGTCGGATCCTTTGTTGACCAAGGTCGCCAAGAGCATCGGATTGGACGGACCGAGCTACCCTGGATGGTTCTGCACAGTCAACCTTGTCAACGTATGTCGAGTTCTTCGTCTTTGGTCACGACGTTTTGACCTTGTAGCATCCTGCGGCTCAATCTGCGTACATTCAAGCCATCGTGAAGCTCTACTCACTCTTGCGCGACGAAGCGTGCTGGTACGTCGTGCAGCACAGGCACTCCGAACTTTCAACGAACTCGTGTTCGTTTGTGTAGGACTCGCGATTCCGATAGCTTTCCGCGCTCGTCCTACACATTTGCCACAGTTAGTCTTTGATATCATGACTCGCCGGTGCACTGATCAACTATGCAGACTATTCAAAAGACGTCCACGTGGCGAAGTCCAGCGCTAGCTGCGTTTGTCGCGGCGAACGGGCCGTTGGTAATCTTCTCTGCGTGGCTGCAAGACCCCCAACCACCCGCGATTCAGTCGGTGCCGTTTGAAAAGCGCATGATCTATGGCTTGCTCGACTCGTTACTACAGATTGAGTACGCTTTTATGTGTGACTACGTTGGAAGGAAACGCCCATCGTCATAGAGACGTTCGTGTGTAGGGAGGTCCGCCTTGCGATTGACGACTACATGGACAACCTGCACGGCGAAAAGTAGAGTCGCGGCAGAGCAGCATCGCGATACAGCATGCACCACAGCCTCGTGCAGAAGGATGTTCACAACGAGGATGGCGTGAGTCGACATTGGTACTTCCTACAGCTGCTGGTTCGATGGGGTGGTCAACTGCCGGCTTGCACCCCAACCAACGACTGCCGTCCTGCGGCAACCTCGATAACAAATCCAAACGTAACTTCATTCATGGTCATTCGGTGTCATGCCACGTGTCGAATGACCTAAACTAACCTACATCGATGCCACTCGACATTCACGTCCATGGGACGAGATATTTCCGGCCACACACACAAACGGTCGTGCAGTCGGGACGCTCAGCCGTGAACGGATGAACTGGGCACCCGGCGCTGTGGCTCTGCCTCGTCCACGTTGTCGCGCATCAACGGCGTGGCGTACAACTCAAATGGCGCGTCGTCTTTGATTTCGCCGACGCTGCTGCTGCCCTTGACATGTTGCTCGCGGCGCCAGAGGATCATCGAACCGACAAACACGCCGGCATACAGCCCCGCTACGTCCACATGAAGCCTGTCAACCATTGTGTTCAGGCGTACGAGCCTGTATCATACCTGATACAAAGCACGAATTTGCTGACGACTTTGGTGTGTGGACATCGCGAATGAATTCCGGCTGGAGACGCAGCAGGGCACCCATACACAGCTACAGGCATGCACAACGAGGGTACACGTGAGTGCGATCGGGCAGCACGTCGAGTCGGCGAGTGGCCGAGTACGTACCAAGAACGTTGTCCCTGCAAGCGAGAAGATGCTGCAGCAGAGGTAACCTATCCATACACCGTCAACACACAGGCATGCCATGGTCCACGGCAGCGTACTCATCGGGTTGAGCAAGGGGGAGCGAAGATGGGAATGAGGTTGACCAAGCCGTATTCGTTGAATGCTGGCATGGCTGCAAGACCCAAACACCCACGAATCAGTCGGTGCGCATGATCTATGGCTACCTCGCCTCGTTTTTGCAGATGGAGCACGCTTTTATGTGTGGTAATGGATACGCCCATCTCCGCCTCAAAGTCCGTGCGGTAGGGATGTCTGCCGTGCGATTGACGACGACGTGGATAACCTGTAGAAGGCGAAGTAGAGTCGTAGCAGAGTAGCACAGTGATAAAGCACGCGCCACAGCTGTGTGCACGAGGAAGGATGATCACGATGGTGATGGCGTGATCATGATCGCGATCGAGTCTAAATATTTACATTCTACATCTCCTGGGTCGATGCGTTGGGCACCCGACGTTGTTGCTGAATTGCTCTTTTCATAGCGGCGGAGTCGGGCGCCATCAGCGGCGCGACTTCCTCCGAGTCTTCCATTTCGTCGTACATCAACGGCGTGGAAAACAACTCAAATGGCGCCGTGTCTTTAACTTCGCCGACGCTACTGCCCTTGACATGTTGCTCGCGGCGCCAGAGGATCAACGACCCGAGAAACACTCCAGCATACAACCCCGCTACATTCACATGAAGACTGTTCACCATTGTGTCCAAGTAGGTGATCATGCAGTACCATACCCGATACAAAGCACGAGTTTGCAGACGATTTTGGCGTGTGGACATCGCGAATGAATTCCGGCTGGAGACGCAGCAGGGCTCCCATACACAGCTACAGGCATGCACAACGAGGGTACCCCGTGAGTGCGATCGGGCAACTCATCAAGTAGACCAGTGGCCGCGTACGCACCAAGAACATGGTCCCTGCGAACGAGAAGATGCTGCAGCAGAGGTAAGCTATCCATACAAAACCGTCAACACACAGGCATGCCATGGTCCACGACGGCGTACTCATCTGGTTTCGCGAGGGGGGGGCGACGATGGGAATGAGGCCGACCGCGCCGTGTTCTTCGAATCCTGAATCGAATGTCGAATAAGTCGAAGGGTATAGAGTGAATGTTTTGACTTTCTATTTGTAGGCAAAGCAAAAAACGCCACGTCGATTGACCAAATTCGCCGTTTGTATGAAAGCCCCATTACACTTGATGTTTGTATGTCTTACATCCAATGTTGTTGCCTCAATTTCAGCCAATCAAAATGTGTGACATTCCGAGTGACAATTTGCTTGGCAGGCCGGGCGTGCATTGAGGTGCACCCACGATGTGGAATTGCCGCGCCGCCTGCCGCCGCCACGCCTTGATGCCACAGCATGCGCATCGATGGCAAATGAGACACGCTGCCCCGCTGTTAATAATTACTTTATTCGTCCACCTTGAAGATACCGCAATCCGAAATGATCACGGGGACCTTGGGCTTGTCGCCAGCATCGGTTTCGATGGCTTCAATCTTCTTCACAATGTCCATGCCGTCCATGACGCGGCCAAACACAACGTGCTTGCCGTCCAAATGAGGCGTTGGGACCGTCGTGATGAAAAACTGCGAGCCGTTCGTCCCTGGTCCAGCGTTCGCCATCGACAACAGACCGGCCTGCGTGTGTTGAATCTTGAAGTTTTCGTCGGCAAACTTTTCGCCATAGATGCTTTCGCCGCCCGTGCCGTCGCCACGGGTGAAGTCTCCGCCTTGCAACATGAAGTTCTTGATCACGCGGTGGAACGACGAGCCCTTGAACGTGAGCTGTTTGCCCGACACTTTGCTCGTGTGTTCGCCCGTGCACAACGCGCGGAAGTTCTCGGCGGTCTTCGGGACCACGTTCGCGTACAATTGGAGATGAATACGACCGACCAATTCTTCGCCAATGGTAATGTCGAGCCACACAAACGGGTTTCCTTCGTCGTCGGCGTCGTCAATCGAGATGTTCTTAATCACGACTTCCTTGTCCGTGTAAATGGACATCTTATTGAACAGGCCACCGTACACGCCCTTTTGCACTTCTTTAGCGGCAGCCAACTTTTCCTTCAACACGACGAGCTCGCGTCGCACATCGCGGTTCTGAGGATCCAACTTCGCAGCCGCCGTCAAATCTTCTTTGGCGCGGTCCAAGTCGTTCGTGTGAAGCAACGCAACCCCACGGCGGTACAACGCCTTGACATTGTTCTTGTCATTCTTCAACGCCTTTGTCGCCGAGCTGGCAGCTGCTGCGTAGTCTTGCGCCTTCAGCAACGCCATGGCACTGTTCAAGTACAGCACCGTCTGCACTTCCTTCAGCGAACCCTTTTCGTCATCCGATGAGTCGTGGTCGCTTTCCGTATATTTGGCGCCTTCCAAATATGCTTCATTGGCTTGGGCGAATTTTCCCGCTTTGAAAAGCGCCGTGCCTTGTTGCTTGGAGGTCTCCGCTTCCTTGAGCTTTTCGTCCACACTCATTTCCCACATTTCCTTCTTCTTGGGGGAAAAGCCGAGCAATTCGACATCAAACTTGAGCGTTGCGTTCGGAGGAATTTTAGGTGGGCTGCCCGACGCACCGTACGCGTATTCTGGGGCGCAGGTGAGAATCGCGCGTTCACCAACTTTCATCGTAGCAAACCCCAAATCCCAAGCCTTGATGACGTTTCCCTTGCCGAGGACAAAGGTAAACACCTGGTTGCGGTCGCGGGAGCTGTCAAACTTTGTCCCGTCAAGCAGCGTTCCAGTGTAGTGCGCTACATCGTAACTATGTCAGTTCAAACATCTACTGCGCTGGAATGCAGCTCACCTCGGATCTCGTACCCCTTGGGCGGGAATTCGCCGGTACCTTCCGAGAGAATTTCCTTCTTCACGCCGCCGTCGGTGGTCAAGTCGATTGCTGCCATGTTTCCAGTGTCTAGTTGATTTGAAAATGATGCCATGGAAAGTCTGTGAATTAAAAGATCCCGCCATACAAATTTTGTGTCTTATACTTGGGTTTTGTATACGCGTTCGAGCATTTTCCACATCCGGATACACACATCCGTACTGAAGATCCTCAAGTTTCCATGCCACGGTGACCTGCGTGGAGCACCAGATCCAAGTGGTTACCGCAGCATGTTAAACTTGGTCATGATCGCCGCCAAACTCATGTTGCATTCCTCCCTGATGCGCTCGATTTGGCTGCGATGATGGCCGCGATCGACGTCGAATTGCCGCTTGAGCCGTGCCTTGCCCATGATGGATTTCTCCAAACCCATTGTGATGTACCGTTTGTGCTCGCGTTCAATCTCTTCGTTGATGAGTGCTTCTTGTTGTCGTTTGTACATGCCCTTCAATGCCTCGACGATCTTTACTTCTACCATGCGCCGGTCTTCCTTTGATAGAGCTTGGTTCGCCAGCTGCCTCTGCAACCCGTGCAACGATGTCCGATCCTTTTTCTCTTGTTTCTAAGCATGAAGCCGGGTGTCAACCCACGCATGGCGTTTCCGATCCTTGTACCTGGCGTTGGCGGTCGCATTTCTGTTGCCAGCTGACTGATGTGCCGAGTTTCCGCGTGGACTGCGTCGGCCCTTGCTTTTCGACAGCATACGGCGTAAACATGCCTGCTTTTTCATACAATGGCGACGAATTCGTGGCTGCGCCAAAATTGTCATCGTCAACAGAGCCTTCGTCTCCACCACTCGCTCCATCATCCTTCTTGGGCAGCGTCACTTCTAGCCATTCTCCTGCCACGAGGATGGCAATGAAACCATCGCCACTGGACTAGTTGGTGCAAACGCTCGCCACGTTACCTGTTTCCGCGTCCTGCACCGTGACGGTCTCCATGGCCAACGCTCCCCATGTACAATTCACGGGGAAGTCATTTTCGGCTATATTTAGCACCTTTGCTACAAAGGCCGACACCTGCGTTCCAAATTGCACACGCTTCGCAATCAAGGTGTGGGCAAGCAGTAGTGCGCCGAACCTCACGACTACTCCGCTGTGCCGCCCATGAACCAAGTGAGTGCAGCTGAAAGTAGCGACGCCCACAGTTCTACAAGACCTCTGGCACTCTATCAGCGGATCCAAGTTGCCGACCAGTTGGGATAAAATACAATCCAATACCCGTTCAATTCGCGGCTCGCTATTGGGGCATCTTTGACTGAGTCATGCATAGCTCGTAGCGCTCGTTTTCCCAACGGCGGCATCAATTTGTCCTGAGCGTGTGGCGCATACGCTTTCTACTTCTAGCGGGTACATGATGCCGTCGCACTTGTGGAGGTCTACAACACAAGCACTCTCGTTCATTCGTTACTGCACTGCGCGTGAACTAATGCGCAAGCTGGGCATCTTCGATTCCGATCTCTTTCAAGAACGCTCGGATTGCATTGCCCTTGTCGCCACCCATCAAACAGGCATTCCGTCGTGCGAGCTCGCTCTTGAACTCCCATCCTTGGTCCACGATGTCCCCTTCGTCCTTGCGGGCAGCAGTAGTCGCGATGTGTTTCAGCGGAAGCGGTTTGGTCGAGTTTCGAAAGATTTGGGCAAACGCCAATTTGTCTGTGGCGAGTTCGTACTCGGATCGAATCGTTTCTGCAAACGCACGGAGGTCTTCCATTCGACTTTGACTGCTTGGGTGCGTCGACAGCAAGTCGCCGACAAAGGATTCGGTGGCGGCTGCATGTCGGACTTTATCGTTCCCAGACGAGGTGGTGCGTTCAGTTGCGTCCATCATGCGCTTCCACAGCGGAGACGCTTCCGTGGGGTCATACCCCGTTCGCGCAGCCAAGACCATACCCATGCGATCCGCCTCGCGTTCCATCATCCGCGAGAACGCTAGCGGGACTACGAGCTGGAACACAGTGAGGACGAGAAATTCCATGACGGCTTCCTTCCAGCGAGGACGCCCGTAATCGCGCGCTTCGTCGACAAACCCTTTGACGAACTCGTAAACGATCAAGACCAAGTCGAAGTAGCCGATTTTTTCGGCACTGTGGTGGGCCAATGCATGCGAGATCTCGTGACCAAGGATGCACGCGAGTCCACCGTACGTCTTTGCAATCGGGAGAATCCCAGTATAGATGAAGATTGTGCCGTTGGGTACGACGAAAGCATTCGCAATGGGAGAGTCGATCACGTGAAGCTGGAAGGTCGAGGGCGAAGTTGAAGGCACAAGGTTTTCGTCCTGGCACAGTTGCGCTAAATGTTGTGCCACTTCAAGCACAGCGTCGTAGACGGGGTCACCAGGCTTCAAACAATTCTGCCCTTCTTCGGCCAAGATGTTGGCTACTGCTTCTTGGGACAAGGCTTGCTCAGCATCATGCGACATAAACACAAAATGCGATCGGTTGGAGATGGGAATCCGACGCGAATACGCGAACAGGACGCCACCAAAGATCAGGGAGGGGACGCCTATGATAGCCGCCGCGACTGGCTTGCCGTACTTGTACAAGAGACCCGTGCGATGGAGGTGACCGAACAACATGCCTGTAGCCCTGGCAGCTCCACGAAGAAGTGCAACATTCATTTGTTGTGATCCCCGAGACGAGCTCGACTGGCGAAGGAAGATCGCGCCTTGTTGTGCCCGTTGAAGCACAGATTTGATGCCGAGGAATCTATGCGGTAGTGGGATGGCCATTGCGCGGGACAGAGGTGTCTGGAAGCATCGCCGAGAGATTATCATGCTCGCACCCAAACTCGGCGTCGAGGGCAAACACGATCGTCGACAGTGCAGATTCTAAAAATGGAAGAATTTGACCAATCATTATCTCGTATTGAATGTATTCTGACCAATCAATTGCAGATCCACCTATGATGACTCGCCAGATATGCCACTTTTGATTGGCCGACGAAAAATATTATTGTTCAATTAAAATCCTTGATGATCTTGAAGTGCTATACAAGTTTCCATTTCCATAAGCTTTCTCGACAATGAGCGCCGTCCAAGCACTGCTGTCTGCATTGTCCCTGAGTGCTCCTTCGGCTTCGTCCACGTGTAGCTTTGACGGCGACTGTGGCCCAAAGTACTTGGCGTCAACGTCGCACGACCATTCTCCGGAATCGATGGACGCACTCTCGGCGTTGCCTCGGTATCGTCTACCCGAGAACAACCCCCAGGAGCTTGGGAACGTCAAGTTCCTGCGATCTCTGTCCGAAGTTGACAACGTAGACAAACCCATCTTTCTTCAGTTCCAAGAGATTCCTGGTTGCCACACGTGCACGGACTATGGTGACAGTGTTCTCAAGCACCCCCTCGTGGTGGAACTGCTGGAAACCGTGTTCACCCCTGTCGTCGTCTGCAACAACACGACATTCCCCTCGGACGTAGCAGCCTTGAAACAATTCAACGAACCGACATGGAACAACCCCGTAGTACACGTACTCGATCCCTCTTCCCAAAAGGACCTTGTGCCCCGCATCGACGGCATCTACGACCTCCACAACGTTCTCCATCACGTTTTGCAGGCACTCGTCGTGTCGCAACGTCCTGTCCCTACTTGGGTCGACTACGTCGCTATCGATCAGAAGTTACGCGTGGTTAGAAACACAGACAATCGCCTTGTAGCCGTGAAGAATGCGTCGCTGGCGTCGACAACGTTTGTCATGGAGTGCTACTGGGCTGGAGAAACCATCCTTGGCGGGATCGATGGAATCGTGTCCACTGTACCTGGATGGATCGATGGGGTCGAAGTCGTCGAAATTGACTTCGACGATTCGGTGACAACCTATTCGGACCTGCTCCGCGCTGCAATCGCGACGGGACTTGACCCCATGGTCCACACGGATGCTCAACTGCAAGCGGCTCAAAAACTCTTTGTCGAGGGCATGACCATCCGAGACCGACGCAGCGCCCCGAACCAATCGCTCAAAGTGCTCTCGACCGTCTCGTTCACTGAAACCAAGCACCACTTGCGCACGAAATTGCCTCTGATTGCGCTGCTTCCTCTCACACCTTTGCAAGAAGCTCACGCACATACGTTGGTGGCCCGTCGTCAAACCCAAGCCGTCGTCGAGCGTACTGTGCTCACTCCGCGTCAAGTGGCACTCTTGCGACGTTTGGAAGCTGTGGCCGACCATGTGCCTCACAGCGTGGATGATGCTGAAGCGCTTTATGCTCTGAGCCCTGTCGATCGATGGAAAGAGTTATTGCAAGCAATTCAGAGTGCTGAAGCGTTGACGGCCCCCTCGTCCTAGGCATCCCATGAAGACACTTGGTAGCATGCCAACAAGATTTATGTGTTTTAGAGTATTGGGCAATGCAGCCGTGGCAAAATCCAGGATCAACATGGTTGGAACCACTACGACGGAGATCAGCTCCACCAGCCCAGCTGCACTCGCGCAACCAACATAGCTAACCACCTTTCCCCCTTGCTCCAATCCTTACAGCACCGTAACCAAGAGAACTAGCAGCATTGGTAGTCTTGCCATTGGGCTTGCAAGCACTCGGAGGTTTTCGTTCGATTTTTACCATCTTAGTGGAGGGCGAGAATGGTCTAACTAGGTGAAGCTGGCCCAGAACGTCGGCGGGGTCCCTCTTGGCCTTGGTAAGCTCCGCCATGATCGCTTCGATGGCAGCACATGGCGCGACGAAAGCTCTATTGTGTAGCAGTGAGTGGGATTAGATGTAGACACTTGAAAAGTGTGATATTAAGTATCATTGGCTGAAAAGGAATTTAAATAGCCAATCAGAAAGGCGATACGACGACATAATGGGCGACGGTTGAGTTGAGGTGTAACTGACACATCATCACCCAGGGACGTCGTGGACAACTGCACTTGGACGGCCATGTCGGCGGAAGCGGAGAACATACGCGTCGCGGTGCGTTGTAGGCCCATGAGCGAGAAGGAAATACGTGAGCAGGCGCAGTCGTGCTTCGTGGTACGTGTGCAGTCGCGTGATGGTACCCCTCTTGACTGGACGCGGTTGTTGCAGTGCAAGAACGGCAACGCGGTGCTCACGAATCCAGAAAACAAGGACGAAGTGCACGAGTACGTCAAGATTGGCGGGACCCGACGCTGCTGCATTTGGAAGTTGACTGGACTCGTCGTCCTTGTAGGTTTGGATTTGATCTTGTGTACGGCACCGACACGGAGCAGCGAATCGTGTATGAAGACTTTGGCCGGCCGGTGCTTGAGCGCGCATTTGGCGGATACAATGGCACGATATTTGCATACGGTCAAACGGGAAGCGGAAAGACGTTCAGCATGACGGGGATTCACGGGAACGAGTCATTGGAGGGGTTGATTCCACGCATGAACAAGTCGCTCTTTGAGAAAATCCAGGTGATTCAAGCCGCGCATTCGTTCTGGTGGACAGCAGACTGCTAAGTCCCCCCGCTAGATGGAGAAAGCAAATGACCCGAACAAGTTGTTCCTGGTCGAGTGCTCGTTCTTCGAAATCTACAACGAAATCATCTACGACCTGTTGGACTCGAGGTGCAAATGTCCTTGGTAGGTTCACAACGCCTCAAATGTCGCCGTAGTTCGGCCAAAGACAAGAAGAACAAGGGCCTGGAAATCAAGGAGCACAGCGTACTGGGGATTTACGTCAAGGATCTCCAGGAGCGAGTCGTCGAGTCGCGCGAAGAAGTGATTGAGCTGATGGCCCTCGGCGCGTCGAATCGAACGGTGGGGTACACCAACATGAACTCGGAGAGTTCGCGGTCGCACTCGATCTTTGTCATCAAAATCCATCAAAAAGACTCGAGCGACGAGTCGAAGAACGTGTTTGCCAAGGTGAATCTTGTGGATTTGGCCGGGTCCGAGCGGGCCGCGGGCACGGGGGCAGTCGGAAGTCGACTAAAAGAAGGCGCCAACATCAACAAGTCGCTCAGTGCGCTCGGAAACGTGATCAATGCGCTCGTGGAAGACGCCCGGACCGGCAAAAAATCGTTCATTCCGTATCGAAACTCCAAGCTCACCCGCGTGTTGCAGGTGCGAACTGATTCCCATTTGTCCTGCAGTTGTTGTGAGCTTCGACGTAAGATCACTGTGTGGGTAGGAATCTCTCGGGGGCAACAGTTTGTGCTCGATGCTGGCAACGCTGTCGCCGGCAAACATCAATTTTGTCGAGACGCTTGGGACGCTAAAGTACGCGAGTCGCGCCAAGTCCATCAAAGTAAATGCGAAAAAGAACGAAGAGGCGTCGCAGATCTCCCAGCTCAGCGAAGAGATTGCTGCACTCAAAAAGAAGCTGTCCGAGCAGGCGGAGAGCGGCCTGGATCCGCGGGAAAAGAATGAAATCGTCGCCAAGTACGAAAAGCAGATCCAGGAAATTGACGCCGTCCGCATGCAAACGTGGGAGGACAAGGCGCGATTGAGCAAACAGCACGAAATGGAGCGGAAGAAACTCGCCAAGGAGCGCGCGCGGGCCGACCAAAAAACGCAGGAAGAAAAAGTGAAAAAGTGGAAGCTCCTCGAAGCCAAGGCCGACATTGAGCTCGCGATCCGCGCGACGCGGGAGCTCGACGTTGGCGACGATGCGTGGATTAGCATGACAACCAAAGTTAAGGTCCGTGTGTTCGAGTCGATGTGGCCGCCTCAGGTTGACATGCAGGCGCTGGATCAAGACGTGAAAGACGCCCGGACGCTCATTTGCGTTTTCAAGGACTCGTTCGATAAGGACGTGGCATCGTGGAAAGCAATGCAGCAAAGCGCGGACGAGCCCGACGACGCGTCGGCAGGTCATACAACTGCATCGCAGTTGTGCACAAAAATCAAAAACATTCAGGAAGAGAGTGCCAAAATGATGGCATTGGAAAGCGAATTGCTGCGGCAAACTAGCGCGCTGATCGATTCCGTTTGTGATGAGGCGGAGAAGCTGTCGTCGACACCAGCCCCTACCGCGAAAGAGCAGAAGCAGTTGCTCGAAGATCGGGACAAAGCGCTCGCGATCACGAGGGCCATGGTGCGGACGTACCGAACTGCATTGGTCACCACGCTTAAGGCGGAACGAAAGCGAATACTCAATGTACGTGAGTCCGACTACCGATACCCTACTTCAGTGGACTCATGAGTCCCCCGACCGTGCTATAGTTTACGGACGCGTCCATGGTAATGCTGGCCGAGCTTCAAACTCAAATTGACAGCCCGCACGTCGATGAAGACCGGAAGAAACCACGAGTGTTGGCGACCAAATCGCTGGCAAAGGCAGTGGAAACATGCTCCAAGCTCGTGGCCACAATGCCTTCGGTAGATGCCCCGCGGATTCAAATTCCCAAGGGCGAGCTGCATGCATTTGGCGTCGAGACCAAGATCATCGGAGACGACAAACTAACAGCGTCGAGTGGCGATGCCAAGCAGGCGCGGCTCAACGGCCAAACTTGTTGGATTGCTACGGCGGAAGATGCGGCTCCGTGGCTCAAAGTTGACCTGGGAAGTGTCAAGTTTGTCGATTCGTTCCAACTCCAAGGGGGAATTGTCGGCGGGTCGACCGTTCTCAGCGAGATGCCGCTCGTGCTGACAAAAGCAAACATGGAAAGCATTGCCAAGCAATATGACCCTGCCAGTGTCACTGGGGACCACCAACAAACGTACGATATCGCCAAGTACGTTGCCGCGACCGACGTGGTCGCATGTGGTTGGGCTTACGAGGCAGCGTAGGCATGTCCTGTCCTGGGTCGGGCTTCTGAAAACAACGCAAGTCCCGACCAAATTGTTTAGTCGTCCGCCCGTTCGATTTCTCCACGACGTGATCTCGTTGGTTGTGTCGAATACAGGGTACGGCGCGGGGCTCTTCACGGAGAAAGAAAAAGACTACACGCAGCTCACGGAGAAGAAAGACAAAGCAGATTACTTGGTCAAAGTGCTGCAACTCGTCGCATCCAGGTGAGTCGTACATCACTCGAACACATGATCTGACTGTTGATTGTTGGTGGCCGACGTAGCTTCCAAGGGACCGTCGAAATTAAAGCCACGGACGCCAACATCCTCGCGGGCAAGGAGCCCGAGCATACCATGCAATTTCTCGCGCTCTTTTGCTTGGGAGCGATTCGCCATCTCGCTACAACGTTGCCAGCGACGACTCAGGACGGCGTCCCCGCGATGGTCACGCCACAGCCCGTTGAAGCCCCACAAGCTTGGGTGACAGAATTGGATGTTGCAGTCAGCGTAGACGGCGACACGTGGACGAAGCCACTTCCATCAGGATCGGCGAACGCCAGCACGGATGTCTTCACGGCTGTGTCTACTAAATTGCCGCAGCCGACCGTCGCTCGGTTTGTCAAGTTTATCCCGACGAAATGGAACGTGGCCGCGGCGATTCGATGCGAGGTGCTGGGATTCAAACTCACAGAGAAGGACGAGTCCCTGGCACAAGTCCAAGACGAAGTCGTGCACTACCTCGGTCTCCTCACCACGCTCTTTTCAGCTGGAGAGCTCATTTTGGACGAAGCCCGGATCAAGTGGAAGAAAGCCAAGGACATGCAGCGTGAAAAACAGACCGAGCTCAAGAATGTACTTGTCGAGGTCTTCTCGACACGACTGGGAACGACGGACTCACCGTATGTGTGCAGATGGACGCGTGGAAACACCAAGTCGCTGCGCTCAAATCCGACATGGATATGGCCAACAACGCACTGGAGAAGTCGAAGGCGGACAAGTTGGACATGGACAAGCTGCTGGCAACGACCAACGCCAAGCTCGACGCAGCGGCGTCCACGTGCACGTTGCTGGAAGATCAAAACAAAAAGACGAGAGCGAGCTTGGAGACAATCACTGCTCAACTGAGCGACACGACGAAGGAGGCAGCTTCATGGAAGCAACAGCATGGTCAAGTCACAGAACATCTCAAGTCGATGAGTCAAGTAGGTTCCTGCAACGTCGTCCCTTCGATCTGAATCACGTGCACTCGTTGTAGTCCAAAGCCGATTTGGAAAAGCTCGTCGAAACGTTGCGGAGTCAGCTGACGTCAAAGAGCGCGTCCGACGGCCTGACAGATTCGAAAATGGCGACACTCTCCGCCGATTTGCAGGCGACATTGATTCAACTGGACGAGGCGAAGCGGACGTTGCAACAAAGTGACAAGGCGCTCGCCGATGGCCAAGCCGAGCGAGATGCACTGCAAACGCAGCTCAGCCAAGCTCGTGCCGCACTGGCGGCAAAGGACGAAGCGGTGGAAGCATTGGAATCCAAACACAAGTCCCAGATGACCGATTCCAGTACCCAACTGGATGTTGTCCAGTCCGCATTGACCGAAGCGGTCAACAAACAACGGGATTTGGACGCGCAGCTACAAAAAGCCGTCGCGAGCGCCGCAACGATGCAAACCGAATTGTAAGACTGTGATGCGTCGGGACACAATTGAATGGGTTCACAGGGAACAAGCCAAGAAGCGCGAGGTGGACAGCAACCAAATCGAGGTCAAGAGGCTCCACGACGAAGCAGTCGAGAGCGAGAAGCGCGTGTTTCAATTGCAGGCGCAACAAGTTCGTCTCCAAGCCGACAACGAGCGACTCGAAGCAAAGTATGCATCGGTGGAAGACAAAGTCAAGGGACTCGAGGCCAAACAAGTCGAGTATATCCAAGAGCTGGAAACCCTCCAGAGAGAACGCAAGCAGTTGATCGAACAGGAAGAAGAGCTGCAGCTGCAGCTCCAAGTTGTCACGGATGAACGCGATTCGGCTCGCCAAAAGGAAGAGCAACTGTTTGTCGAAAATGCCGAGAAGGAGCAAGAGATCGAGCGAATTCGAGATGGCTATGGTACTTGCACCACCTCACTGGATGCCGCCGTGAAGCAGAAACACATGATGTTGGCGCTGTAGTGTGGGTGACAGACCGGATGAACAACAAGGAAGATGAGTTGGCCGAACTCCAAGACCAAGTCGAAAAGTACCAGAGCCTGCTCAAGCTTGCTGGAGGTATGGGCTGCTTCCAAATGCGTTCAACTAGCTTGGCCATTAGAGAGGCCGTCCACCGCCTCGTCGTCCACTCCAACGACGGATCAGTTCGCTGGACTGTACAAAGCTGCATTTGGCAAAGGTATGCACCATCTCTAGGCGCATGGATAGCTCAAATCCTTTTAGATGTGGACGGGGGGGCGAAGCCTTCGGATATAAAGAATCAGCTCTTGCAATGGATCTTGGACCAAAAGGAAAACAGACCAACCAAGGACACCGACCAATCCAAGCAATCGTCGGCGGCCACCGGAAGGGCGACCAATGCCCCACAGTCAAGTCAGGGTCAACCGGCGATGACAACCAACGACGCAAACGCGCCAGCAAGACCTGAGCCAAATCCTCATGTGGCATGCACCCCTCTTCCTGACGCAAAACCATCAGCCAAAGTCGCAGCACCCCCCAAGGAAAGTTCTCCAGATATGTCGAGCGCGGTCCGTTCATCGTTGGAAGTGGAAGAGTCCATGCCGCATGGAGCAAGAGACCCAAAAGGGCCAAGTATGTCAGCAGGAATCGTAGCAACCCACCCGCCACAAAAGGCAGCCCACCCACCAGCCACATCTGCGAGAGAAGACACTGATGCGAAGATGCATCATCGTCCGGCGTCATCGGACGATGCCAAACCCAATCCACCAAAGCAAGCCGGCACACCAACCGCTACAGACACATCTCGGCCAGCTGAAGGTTCCGCGTCGGGCGGTCGTGGCAAAATCGAGTCTAACGCGCGTCAAGAGTCTATCGACGATCTTGTTCCAGCCATGGACACGTCAATGACAAATGGCGGCATGGAGTCGACTGAAGTTGCAGAGGTTAACGAGTACGACGACGATTTCGACGCAGATGACGATGAAAATCCCGTCCGACGAGGCAAGTCGAAGCGGCGAAGTGTGGACAAATCAGCTGCCCCGATCGAACCCGTGTCGGCGAAAACGATAGCACAGAACGCGCCATCGGGAGTTGCGCCGACCGCCCCTGCAAAGAAATAGCTAATTGTTTGAAGGCAGCATGAATGTTGCAAAACGAAGGTGATTGTGTCCCGATACTCCATCGAGCAACGACGACGGCACCCTACTGCTTGGACGGATTAAGCTCGGACAACAAGGACAAGATGCTGTGGGAGAGTCGCCAGCTCGGATGTCGCAGCTCGTTGTCGACGAAAATTTGACTGTTGGCACACGGGGCGTCCACTGCGGACGCTTGAGCGCTCCAACGGAGAAATACATGAGGCCAGATCTACAGCATCACGTTACTGTGGCTTCCATCATCGTTTTAGTTTGTGGCATCGCACCGAGACGCCGCGCAGTAGACTCGATTGAGTTGGCAAGAGAACTTGTTCACCAACAAACGTCCGGCTCAACAGCACGCTGCGGTAGCCATTGAGGAAGGTCCAAATGCTCGTGGTCTTGTCACGGAGTAGCATGGCTTCGCGATCTTGCTGGGAGCTGAGTAAAAACGTTCCAAACCGACAGGAGTACAATTCGTCCGCCAAAAGACAAAGCAGTCCTTGATTGAATCTAGACAAAATCACAAGGACCCGTCAGCAAACACGCACGAGGGAAGCACGAACCAACTCGCAGCAACGTACTCGAAGTAGGTCGGGTATTGTTGCTGCAGTTGCCAGACGCAGTCGAGAAACTAGGCAGCGCAGTCAGTGGCGTCACCGCCGTCAAGATCGAGTTTATTCATGGCAACACACTTGGAGGAAAATGGGGGAGTAATCGCCCGTGTGCTTGGCTCCATTCGCAAGGCGGATTTGAAACGGGTGGCCAAACGAGAGAAAGTCCTTCTCGATGAGCACCTGAAATCCTTGAATCGTGCGGTAGAATGGATCCAGGCAGAGTTGGGCGAGGGCACACAACTGCGACGTGCGGTCCCACCCGTGGCTGCAGTGGACGAGCACGGACGCTTTTTGTAAATGAATCAAGTCCACGATCTGCAACGTCGCTTTCAAGCACACGCGGACGTAGTACAGCCACTTGGTGTCCTCAACGTCCGCGTACCAGTTCAGGTTGTCGCATGTGAGCGACAGCGACAAGTGCTTGAGTTTCTTCGCACTAGTCAGTTTGTGGAGTGCGTTCACTCGGTCGCGATGCCCTCGGTCGCGATGTCTTTCATCGTGGAGGACCACTTACACACCTGTCGCGCATTGTGTGGATGTTGGGAATGTTCATAAACTCCACAACTGCTTGCTTGTATCGTAGCGAGCTTTCGACGCCGTACCCTTTGGCTCGATTTGCCTGGAAAACACGTTGTCACATGCGTGAACGAATGGCGAGGAGCGGCGCACCATCGCACTCGACATGGGTCGGCAGTCGACGATATGAATGGTTTGGTTGTTGGGGTTTGCGTTGGCGATCGCCGCCACCAAGTCTTCATCTGAAACCGAGAACGCATTTGACATGCCAATCTACTCGCATCAGGACGCGCGTGACGAGTGGTGAGGAGCACAAGCTGATAGTGGACGACCTTTGGCTGGCTTGCCCGCGATAGCGACGCCCCGTGTCCAGGGTGAACCCACGTGATACAGGGAATGCGCGCAATACTTCTAAACCCTGCAGCATCGACGAGAACCTGGGCCCACCAACCACTTGTGAGTCCACTCACACCAACAATTGCATGGACAACCTCGTCTGGGATGGACGCGGGGACCACCAACTGCGATGGGTAGCTCGGGACGATGCCGTAGCCCTGGTTGACGTTCGATATGCGCCATTTTAAATTGTCCAACAGCCCCTAGAACGCCACGTTGATGGCATCCACGAACGAGCAGGATGCAACGAACTTGGCGGCGCCATTCGGCGTGGGGTGAGTACACGTCCCAATCAGTCTGCAGTGGAAGACATTCGTCGGCACTTTTCTCCGCCGCGTACGTCGTGTCGAGAATCGCCATGCTTCTCGGCAAGCGATGGCAAAATGCAAACACGTACTCGAAGGACGACGGAAACGCATACGACACGAGGAGCTCGTGCACTTTGAGGAGAATCTCGGGCTGTCCGTGGAACGACAGGTGAAACTTGCGGTGGTCCTTCGTCTCGACTTCCAAGCTGTGGTACTTTTCAGACTTTTCGACGCGCAAGATCGTTCCCAACGCCACCGTGCAATACTCGTGGACACGGCGCAACGTGCGAAAGCGACGCAGGAGACTTTGAAATGCAGCGGCGTCGGCCTCTCCTTCGGACATGGACGGGTGGTAGTAAAACTGCATGCGGTACGACGTCATCATGAGCCTCCCAGGTAGTTTGTAGTCGGGCTTGGAACGACTATTGCTTCCGGACGACGAAGATGATGAAGGAGGGTCGACGGGAGTCGCGGGTGCACCACCGTCACTCAATACTTCTTTGGATGAGGACGATGCGGACTGTTTGAGGTACGAGAAGGGGTTCTGGAAACGCGACTTCTTGGACACTTCGCTGTTGGCACCAGGTTGGGTCGACGATGCCTGCGAATTGCCGGAAAACGCAAACTGAAACTCGCACTTGATCTCGGCCATAACGTCGCGCTCGCCGTCAATCTTGGACAGCGGGGCGCTCGCGTGCTCTGCCATGACGTTGTGCGGATTCACGGGAGCTTGGATGCTCCATGCCGCCATTTTCGTCAGGATGTCGTGGCGCTGCTGTTGCATCGTGCCGACGGCGACCACTTTGGTCGTTTCAATATTTCGATGCTTCCATCAACACGTTCTTCGGTGTTATAACAAAATGTAATCTTGGAAGACGTATACGAGTCGAGACGTAACATGTTACATTTGTATTTCAACATGACTGAAGTCGCGTGGGGCGCGCGATCATCGCATGCGCCGAAGGTTGTTCCTGCCGGCAAGTCGCCACGGCCACCCGGCCGGCGAATATACTACTCGTCAGAGGATAGCACCTCGGAGAGTTCGGTTGTGTTTTTGAGATGCTCAGAGATCTGACGACGTGTGCATGGCCGCCAACGGTTGGGAATCGGGGCTTGGTTGGCACATGGAGTTGGCACACACTTGTTGTGCAGGGAGCATGGCGAACATGATGGCCATGGTCAAGTGGAGGGTTCGTATGGGATCGAGTTGCCGCGTCGTCGACCTTGCTGCGTTGCTAATGCCCTCGATTGCTAACTTCGTGAACAACGCATGCATCCCGCCGCCATCGTGGTTTCGTTCATGCACTCGAAGCGTCGTTTTCAGCGACAGGTTTGTCGCCTGTGATTGTGCACGGTTGCTGCGTGACCGCTCCAGACCCAATACGCATCCGCACAGCGCTCGCGGTCGCCCTCGCAGCATGGACACCGACTGCTGCACATTTCCATCGCGCGATCCTGGTCAAATGTTTCTGGACGCTGGGGCCATCTAAAGCAAAGGGTACGTGCTGCCATTGCGGCACTCGCCCCCAACTACGCGGCAACAGCGGCAGCCTTGATTCGGCAATCAGATGGACGGGAACCTGATAGCTGGATCAGACTTGCCGTGAGTTCCGGTCTCACTGGTTCAAATGTGGGTTCATTTTGCCATTCTTCGACTGATGTTGATCTGGCTTGGTGTGTACGTCGCCGTCGCGGCCGCGGCGCTCATCAAGACCAACGCGACCGACCCGGCGCCGTGGAATACTGTTCTTGGCGTCACCAGCGGCGTCAAGGTCTATTCGAACTTCAACGCGACTTCGTACGACAACGAAAACTACTACCCCGAGGGCACGACATGGCAGAACGGCACGTACACGGGGCTCCAGTGGCAGTGTGTTGAGCTCGCACGACGCTACCTGCTCGTCACGGAGGGGGTCGTGTTCGAGTCGGTCGACGACGCGGTCGAGATCTTTAGCCTCCGCACCGTCAAGAACATCACCAACAAGGACCGGCTCCCGCTCTACGTGTACCCTCAAGGCTCTTCGACCCCACCGCAAGTGGGATCGTTGGTCATTTGGGACCGCCAAGGCGTGTACTCCCCGTTTGGTCACGTCGCCGTTGTCGTGAACGTCCAGAACACATACATTGACGTCGCGGAGCAAAACTTGGAAGACACGGTGTGGCCGGCGTCGGCGTACTACTCGCGGCGAATTCCAGTCTCGTTCACGCCGTCGGCATTCAACGTCAAGCCGTACTACAACCTTCCAAACGAGACCGAGAATGTCCTCGGGTGGGCAACATTCAACCCTCGTCATAGTTGTTAAGCTCCATATACGTCGTTGTGGAAGTGATGTCGTCCAAGTCGGTCTGGGGTTGCGTGGCACGCCACACAGCGTCTGCGGATGCATACATGAAACGGATGCTCCATCGAGCCACGGCTGTGCATCGCTCAAACACGTCTTTATTACGCTCCCTCCTATGTCTTCATGCGGTGCCATCGACCGCATTCTCGTGACATCGGACAAACCGTCTGCCTCGAGTCGCAGCGCGGCGCTCCCCGTGTTGTCCAAACTCAATATTTCTGCAAAATTTTGCCCCAATTGTTTGAATACGAAATAATTGTAAAATGTGCTCACAACAATCTGATTGGTCACCTGGAGACTTCCTCCATTTTCATTGGGCAATAGTCGTACCCTCGTACCAATCAAATCGTTGGATGAAGTGGTTCGACACACACGCCGCATTGCAGGAAACTAGATGCGACCGAAGCGAGGAGCGGAACGACGGCCGGGCCCGCCGGAGAAGAAGGCGAAGACGGCAAATCCACCTCCTCGGGTACATATTGTGCGTGCAAAGACACCGGTGCCAGTCGGCCTGGAGTCCACAGGACCGATCAACCGAACATATGAAGACTTGGTGAAGATGACGGCGGAGCATCCGTTGTTTGCCGCCAAGTTTGCGCCACACCCGAACTGGGTGTCCACGCTAACCATGAAGCCGAGCTCGAAAGCCAAGCACAAAAAGATTGTAGCGATGGATTGTGAAATGTGCGTGACGATCAACGAAGCGACCAAAGTGCGCAACTCGAAAACTCTCGTCCGAGTCACCGTGATCGACGGCGAGAATCCGGACGATATCCTTGTGGACCTCATCGTCCATCAACCTCCGGCTGGACACGTTGTGTTCAGCTACAAGACGCACATTCACGGAATCAAGGAGGACACAATCACCTCGTCCAAGATCTCAGAAGACCGCGCGCGGAAGGAAGTGCTCAAGTTTGTCGGCCCCGACACAATCGTGGTCGGGCACAGCGTGTACGGGGACTTGGCAAGCCTCGGGATCCACCACACTCGCGTCATCGACACATCCTTTCTGTACACGCGGAAGGACGTCCAAGCCAAGTTCAAGACACCCGGGCTGCGTGACCTGACCAAGCAGTTGCTTGCGATTGAAATGCCCGCTGTGCACGACAGTTTTCTCGATGCCAAGACAACCATGATGGCCGCCACGTACACGCTGACGCATCCATGCGGCGAAGTGCTGTATTATGACGGGCCTCGGACAGATACGGCGGACGAATCTACCTTGGACGCGTCCGCAGTCACCATCCCCGTCGTCAAGACGACCAGCACACCAGTTACTGCTACCCCTGTAAGAGCGCCATCAATCAACAACGTCGACGACGACGAAAAGGACACCCACTGGCTCGTACACAAGATTCCCAAAGGCCTGTACAACTCGGATGTGGAGCAATTCGCGATCCAGCAAACAGCCGTGGTCCCAACCATGGTCGAGAACATTGTGTTCAAAGACGTGTGGGGATCGTGCTGTGTCCACTTTCGGACCCCAGGCCATGCCAAGCTCGCGTTTCGTACCCTCGTCGGGAAAGAATCGGAGGACCCGCTGAAGCGGCCCGTCAAGACGCTCAACATCCACGACGCCAAAGGCAAAAAGTTCTCCAATATCAAGGTTGTTCAAGTCACCCAACGCAATAAGAACTAATCGTCAACCGTGTACAGCTTGGAATATCAAGTGGTTTCGATGCCACAGTTCTGTCCATGAAGCATCGGGCGAAAATAAACCAGATGACCCGATCGTCCAAATTATGCTACGTCGATCGACATGCCACACATACGAGCGAGGAGATTCCATTCTCATGGGACATCGGTGCATGTGTACATGTGGCGTCTTCCAGTAGCGTCCGAAACGATCTCGTCAAGGCGTATCGCGAGCGGTTCAGCGTTCAGCACGCTCCCACGACGGAAGGGTTGGCATCATCCAGGGAGTAAACGGCTGCGATGAGCACCCAGGAGACTCCACGTGCGTCAAAGCCTGTGTCGAGACTATATGTATTTTTGGCAGTCATGGCGGCAAAAATCCTGTGGACAACCGGACTCGCCAACTCTTCATCGATGACATTCGCCGCAGGCGTTTTCAGCCGATACGTGGATCTACCAACGGCACACGATGCTCCGCTGCAGTTCCAAATGGAGCGATGCTATGACATTGTCGAGGACGGTCCGTGGTTTGAAATCGCCGCATTCGATGGGTACGACGTCGACAGACTGAATCGGTAACGACGTTCGATGCTGGATTGTAGGGGGTCGCCGCAGAGAAGGGCAAGAGGGCTCGACATGCCGTCACTTGAAGGAGAACTTCCGGCCGGAGACATACCATGGACGGCGGGTTGACCACGGGGCGATTGCACACCAACGTGGTAGCTCCACGGAGTCGCGTTGTCATCGTCGGTGGGGCAAAACTCGTCGACGTCGTACAACGGATCGAACGGCAATGGTGGATACGTGTCCGACGTGGCAGCCCACCGCCCTTTGAGGTAGTGCGGCACACAAACCAACGAGCACATGAAGCTGACAAACAACAAGACAACAATCGTCCACACGATATTCGCACCGATTTGCCGTCCACAGCCTTCCCACATCGAGTGCTCACAGCCACCAGTTTTATTGAGACGGTTCAGCGATGTGTCATTGACACGACGAAGGGCAGGAGTTGTTGCCGCGGCGAACGTGCAAGTATTCGCAAGCGCGATGCGGTCACCGTAGCTAAACATCCCTGCCGCGACAACGGCCCAGATGCCATTGCCAAGGTGGATTGCAATTGCATCCAACGCATCGTTCAAGCGGCCATGTCGGGTCCATGTCGACACGGCGACAAAAACGAGGCCCGAAATCGCACCGATCACAACAGCATGAGAAGCTAGGACCGTGGACGCCGCCGCTGACATGGCGACGAGGCCGCCGAGGAGCCCGTGGTTCATGGGGTGGTTGGTTGGGAAGTAGAGCGATAGAATGGAGCACACGACGCTGCCGGCTGCGGCACTCAGTGCCAAGTTGACGCACGACGCCATGACGACGTCGGGGCAATTGCCGCGCAACGTGGGCGACGACAAGTGAATCAATCCAAAATGCGCAACAAATACAAGAAACGATCCGATCGAGTGGTTGAGCGATGACTCGCGATCGACGGGACTCGACGGCGCCGTTGCTGACGGATGCGCTTTGGCCGACCTATCTCCCATGACGTCCGCAGATAAACGTTCGACGGGGGGTGCGTTGCAAGACGCGGGTACATCATCTCTGGAAAAGCAAGACGCCACCAACACGGCCATGCCAGCGCATATATGCAGCGAGCTCGCTCCCGCATAGTCGACGACGGCAGAACCGTAGAACGCAGAAGGGAGGGGATTTGAACTACTGACGAAGCCGCTGGACGACCACAACGCGTGGACCAGCACTGGCGACACGAAGCCATGGAGGAGCAACATGTACAAGTAAAGAGGACGTCGGCCGATGCGGTGAGCGAGGGAGTGGTAGACGAGGGACGTCATGGTCAGTGCACCCGTCGATTGCAGCACCCAGAAGGCCCAAGTGGGCGAGGTCAGCGGTATACCCAGAAGAAAAAACCCGTCTTGGCCGAGAAATGACCCGTTGCCAAACGACAAGGCAAATGCGAACGAGTACGACAGCAACACAGCCACAGCGATGACACCTGTGCTTTTCGAATCGGGCAGCGAGGCGGCGGACGCGAGAAAGGACAAGCCAAATTGATGCAACAAGATCTGCATGGAGCACGAGAGGATCCAAAGGACGTCGACGGTGTCTTGGAGTGCAAAGCTGTTCAATGTCGTGGAATTCGTGGCGCTGACGGATTTCGCTTGCATGGCCGCAGCAAAGTCGCTCCACGAGTATTCCAGGACAGAGCCATCAACTGAAAGTCGCACGGTTGCATGCGAGAGATCTGTCATGGCGTCGTTGGCTCCGGTCGGATCGAGAAAGCCAAACTCACGCTATGCGGTTGGAACGCGAGAACATCTTGGTTGACGAATTCGAACAATTTTCAAGCAGCTAGATATCTCCAAGCATAGCCATGGTCCCAGGTGCGCCGTAAAGGGCTCTGCTTAACCTCTTATAGGGGAACCGTTCATCGCATGTACAGCCCTTGTTTCGTGGAGCCTAGGCCATGCCGTTCCGCACCATGTCATGCTGACGGGCGTGGTTGCAGCAACACGCGCTGGTTTTGTCACTGGCCTGCTGAATTCGCCCATGCCTGCCCAAATGTCTGGGATGATTTTAGCTCGATTTCATTTGCAAAAGTAGAAAAACGGGAAAAAATCGCTCAATTCCAGCATGTTTTGAGATTTTTGCGGAAAAGTGATGATTCGGTATCATTTCTGGAATCAAATCCCCCAAAGATACATTTGCGGCCGCTGTGTGAGTTCCGTCCGTTTTCACATCGGCGCGCACTTTCGTCCTTGCATCGACCAGCGGTCTCCCACGAAGAAGGATGGATGCTGATGACATTCAATGGATTCGGGCCCCCTTTTCGTCCTTGAGAGAGGAAAGTGTCCTCATGGAAATGTACGCAAAATTGGAGGAGTCGTCGTCTGCAGCCAACGTCGCGATGGCATCGCCGAATAACAACATTACGATTACGTCCACCAGCACGTGCGTGAACGGCGTGACGATGTCTCTCGAGGAACTGAATCAAGACGCAGATGTTGCTCGCTTGCAACTCTTTGCCAGGCACGCTCATGGAAGCGATGCTTCTGACGATGCACACAAAGACGCACCCCAGATGAAATCCACCAAGAAGCGTGCAAAGGCGTCGGCTACGGCGGGTGTAAATGAGATGTCACTTGTGTTGAAGGAGCCTTCCCTTCTTGGACAATCTCCGGAAGCTATCGTCAGTACCCGGCGCCAAGCCAAGAAAGGAATGCTCATCGAACGCATGTTCCAAGCAATGGACAAATGCATGATCACTTCAGAAACTCTACCTTCGTGTACGTATGTCCTGCCGCAGGCGTCTACATCCAACGGATCGACGGCATTCGCATCACCACGAGTGATAGAACCTCCGCCCGCAGAGCGTTCCACGTTCGTGCTGAAGCTGTTCTCTGTCGTGTCGTGCCGTATGCAGTTGACGTTGCTCAAATCCATGGCAAGTGACATTCGCCGTGCTTGTGTTCTGGAATTGGTGGCGGCGATCCTGGACTTTCCCGCCCTCGCCCTCTCCAATATCTCACAACATAGCGCCGAGGATGCCACGTTGCACGCCATGTATTCGTTTGCAAAGGACACTTCTGAAGTCCTCAACGACGGCATGCTGCTCATGTTGGCCCTGGGGGTGTCGAGCGGTCAAGCGCGCTTTTTGTTGCATGCCGTGTCCAAGCTGTTGGACGCTCCCCCTGAGTTGGTCGCATCTGCCGAGCCTGCCTGCGCAATCCATTATGACCACCTCTTCCACCATCTTGAAACGTACGAGCCACCCACTGTGCTTGGCGAGTTGGGCAAGGCGTCATTGGTGCAGCAGGTCCGATTCAAACCCACGACGTCCGATGAAGCGAGCCAGCAGCAGTCGAAAGTGTCAATTGCCACAGACGGCACCTATCTCTACTCGTGGTGCACGATCGGTGGGCTCAAGAAGATTGGAACGGGCAATGGGGGGTCTATCACCGGCCGTCTATACTCCCAAGTGCCCGCGTCCTCGTATAAACCGTATTTTGGGACCAAGCGGCCCGTGTTGCGAGCCGTGTGCGGAGCTGTCACCATCGTCACGCTTACATCAACAATGCTCGAGACGCCTCCGGTCGTACAAGATGCGTTTGGCGGGCGCGACGGACAACTTTTGGTGGTGTTCAAGACTGGCAACGTCCTTCAGGACATTGTCTTTGACAGTCTCGAGCGGATTTCTCTACCGTCCACTGCAGTCGTCGTGCATGCTGCATTTGGCACGTTCATCGACGTCACGAGTGCGACCCAGCAACTCACGTCGGAAGCGAATGGCGCTTTCACAGACGCTCTGTCCCCGCTACCACACGCGGAATTGCTGGTCGTGCTGTGGCCGCTGCCAGGCGAGACCGACGTCCGCGTCAAGGTTGTTCAAAAGGGCGATGCGATTTTTGAGACGTTCCCCGCCATTGAATCCACAAGCATCGTGTGTGTCGGCGAGTGGGTGTACTTGAACATGACGTGCTCAGCAACAAACCTTGCCCAAGCGGTCACCGCTGTCGAGTTTCTTCAAATCAGCACGACGGACTTGCGAGTCAAGAATGTTGTCTACATGGAAACTGGAAAGCGCGACGGTGTCCGACTCCAATGGACCACGGAAGGCGACTTTTTGTACGATGTGCGCTTTCGAGCCGACAAGAATGCAGTCGATGTGTATGTGCATGACACCCCGTCGCTCGAGTTGGTGCGTTCGGTGACGGCACCAGCGCTTGCTACCGCGTTGTTTGGCAATGCCCAGCCCCATCCTGTCCCTTGCTACACGAATGGTCATGCCTTGGCCATGACGGCGTCCGATGGCGTCGATGTGTCGCCGCAGTGTTTCCAGGTGAATCTGCAACGTGGTCGAACATTGCCTCCAGCAAACGACAAATCGAGTTCTTGTGCCCCGACAGCAGCCGTTTGCTTTGACGCGGCGGCAAACATGCTGTGGAGCATTGCGCCATCGAGGCATACGATTGAATGCTATCGAAACAATGGGTCGGTTGTGAGCATCCGCGACAAACGGCAACACAAAGCGGTGGTGTCCACAGCCCAAGCGTGGTTGTTGGTCCGGGAAAGCAACTCGGTGGGCCGTCGGTGGGTGCTCGGGATCCTGGCCAAGCTGCACGAGTGGGCTATCTGTGATCTGAAGCAAACGAGTGTCCATGAAGGCGTGCTCCTGGCCGTCGACATATGCGAGGAAACAATTCAAGTGCTCCTTCAGTGCATCGCCTCCTACGCGGACCGATTCTGCCGCGGCGATGCACTACAAGGTTGGGAAGAATACGTGCTCATGGCGTCGTTGGTTGTACTGACCGCGAACGTTCGCCGGATGAACGTAAAGGACAATGCTCAAATTGTACAGCTTGTGCTGGACAGTCGGTTATCTGCCACGTTGTCGAGCCTCGTTCGATTCCCAGACATGGAACATCCAGTCGTCCAGGCATCGCTTCACCTGTACAAAGCATCGTTGGATATATTTTACCACGGACTTGTTGACCAACTGGTACTTGTCACGACCTATTTGGAAGCGTTGACATCCAATGCATTGCATGCAAGCGAATTGGCAATTCTGAAGCTGTTGTTACAACGGCTGACGAATGTCGAAACGCTGCACGACCTCGTGAAAGAGCCCAAATCGATTGACATTTTCGAGGTCCTCTTGGCGCATTCCGTCCAGTGCCACCTCATGCAGCGAGACGACGTGGCACGTGACCTCGTGGCCCTAATCTATTCGATGACGCAGTCTCTGCTGTGGGGTTGCCACCGCCAACGCATACCTCAACACCGCGCATGGACGTGCTTTGAGGGAATTGTACAAGCGTCGGTGCATCTCGTCCAAACGACCAAGTCGGACCACGTTGCGCAGCTTGAACACAGCATCCTCGGACAAGTTTTGCCATTGTTGTTCACCGCGATGCAGCACTTTTCGTGGCAGCCCGCAAAAGCCACATTTGAACACATGTGCGAGCTCCTAGGACAATTGGTCGACTGCATCGGTCCATTGAACAAACTGACCAACCCGAGCGACATCCACAACGAAACAGTTGTCGAGACAACGGCGAAGGTAGTCAAGCACATGGAATCCCCCCACGACTACCTCAACAACATGCACGTGTTGACGGAATTAGCCATCCCAGGCGCGTCAACGATCACCATAACATTTGACCGTCGAAGTCGCACGGAAGCCGCGTACGACTACGTGACGTTCTACAAGGACGCCACGCAGACGGAATTTTACGGCGTGGAAAAGTATTCGGGGCGAGGGGACGACCACAACTGGCCTGGCATGGACAATTGCCCTCCTCTTGTCATCGAGGCCGAATCGTGCCACGTTTTGTTCCATACAGACGGATCTGGCGTCGACTGGGGCTACAAGTTTACAGCGGTCGGCGTCGTGGAATCGCAGGTCACGTGTTTGTCGTTGCCGTGGCTAGTCCATGTTGAAGAGACGCTTCTGTTGGTCGTGACGTCGTTTGCCACGACATTAATCCGCGGCAAATTGTTTTCCCCGCTTTCATCCGGTGAAATCACACAGTCGCTGCTCTTGAACAGTCGCCTCTTGCACGGTGGAAAGCAGCAATCGAGTGATCACGTTGTACAGTTTCTGCGCGACTTAGTCGACCCCGCAGACGACTCAACTGCACATGCAGTCGTCAAGGAGCTGAAAAAGCGAACGGTTCAAGATCAAGGGTCCATCGTGCATATCAACCGAGCGGTCCGAGCAGTAGCCGTTGCGATTTTGCATCATAACTTGTGGGGCATGGACGTGTACGAAATCGGACAAACGCAAGGATCGTCGCCCATCGCAGCGCAGGTTCTCCAAGCGTGGAAAACAGCACAGAAGATGCGCCAATGGTTTGACATTGGGGATGCCGCCGACGCGACGGTGCATCGCGCTTCGTCGTCAGGCCGTCCGACAGGACTAAAGCGACAGCCTTCCGCATACAAAGGCCAGTCGGAGGAAGCCATCATGCAGTTGTGCCAGAACGTTGTCGAACGCTCCCTTTTCTTGCTCGAGTTTACACCGGCTTCTTTTTCGTTTGTACGGGCGGCCAAGTTGCGGTGGAACCTCCTGGCCAAGTACACGACGGCCATCCATCGGAAAAATTCGTGGATGCATCTCGTCAATGAGCTGAACGCAGCCACCGAACTCAAGTCCATGCTCGACTACCGCCGCGCATCGATGGAACGCTTGAACACCCCCAAGACAGTCACGGAACTAGTGCTGGAATTTGTGCAGTCGGACGTGGATGTTGGCGAGATGCAGACGATTCTTGAGACCAGAAACCAACGTGCGCAGAGCCGAGTGTTGGGCATGTCCACCGTCGCCAAAGCATTAGGTGCTTCTTCGAGCGGTCGACTTCAGCATGTCCTGTTGGAAGGTCTTGCGAAGACGATGCGAGAGATTGGACTTGAAGATGCCTGCTCGACCAGCTTGCACTTTTTCAATTCCCTCAACGGCTGCGATGAACTCAAGCGCAAAGAACTCAGCGAAGCGGTGGCCCAGTGCCTGAAAGCATGTGCGGACATTCTTGGTAATAACAAACTGTCCAAGTGGGCGGACGAGTCCCCGACAGCGTCGGCGGCCTTGATCTCGAGTGCGTTGAAAGCAATAGCGATGGACTACGACGTCCGCGACTCGTACTTGCTGTACGACAGCAAAGTGCTTCCGCATATTCTCCGACTTCTTCCCTCCGAGAATGTGCGCATCCGTCATGTCGCGCAGTCGATTATTCGCGTGTTGTTGTCGCACTTCGTCGCGATTCCAGACACTGAAGACGTCTCGACGGATGTTCCAAATCTATCGGCATTTCAAAAGCAACTCTTAGCCGCCGTGCGGCTCCAGCTCGAAGGCATTGTCGCCAGTGTGCAGCAACAAAGTGACCCTCACACCGCACTATGTTTGACGCGCAACCAAGCTGGCTACTGTGCTCCGTTTGTGTCGGTGCTGCCAAACCATTCGCTGTCGTTTTGGTTGTTCGTGGAAGAGCAAGCGTGCCAGTATGCTCTCAAAGTGGGCGACGAAGTCCGACGCGGGCCGCACTGGATCAGTACGCAGGACGAAGATGGCGGCGAGCCAGGCACTGGCACGATTGTGTCCATCCCCAGTCCGACCACTGTTCAGGTAATTATATCGTCACGGTGTGGACGTCCAGAGCTCATGTGTGTGTTTTCAATTCGACGACGCGCATGGCTTCGAAGCGCTGTTGGGCGCGCCGTGAGTTGCTCACTGGTGTTCTTGTGTAGGTGAAATGGTTTGCGACAAACAAAGCATTGGTGTACACATGGGACCCGAGTTTGCCTCTATACGAAGTGCAGTTGGTCGATGAAGGCGTGGGAGGCATGGTGTTCTTGCATGGAAATCGGAACTTGGTCTCGGACACGGAAGAAATGGTCGCGTGGAGCCACTACGGACTGTTTCTAACAGACGAAGGCCAGATCAAGTACGTCGTGAGCTCGGGAGCAGACAAAGACACGATCTTTGAGAGCACGGATGCTGTCCATTTGAATGCGTGGAACCACGTGTGCGTCGTCAAGGACGGCATCCACCTGAAGTTGTATCTCAATGGTGCGCTCGACTCGCAGCACGTGTTGGACGATGCCAAGAAGCACTCGACCGACGATGACCCTCCATCTCATTGCGTCATTGAATCGGTGCATCCGTGTATGGGCCACGGAGACGTGAATCGATGGCCCTTATCCTTCCCTGGCGCAAGTCGACTCGTTGTGACGTTTGACCCGCTCACGCAACTGGACAAATCGAACGGCGACTACATGTGCTTTTTTGCGTCGGTCGACGAAACCGAAGTGTGGGGTCTGCCGATGTACAACCATTCGTTTCCAGGGGTGAATGAGAACAGGTACAGCTCCTGCGCTGTCACTTGGGTGCTTTCGCACTACACTTTGGACGGTGTGTTGTCCGATTTAACGGGTGTGGTGTGGTGTAGCGCACTCATTATTCCATCGGACAGCACTGTCGTGTACTTTCACTCCACCTCTCAAACGGTGAAGTGGGTACGGTTGCGTCGGATCGATGGGTTGTGGCTAACGACCTCTCCTCGCGTAGGGATTCCGCCTCGTCGTGGCCGCGGAATACGACGATGACCGGCAATTTCACGAGTCGCTCAACTCTTATCCATTCTACTTTGGCGAGCCACCGTCTCGCGCGTTGGATGCGCCGTCTGCACGGTGCTGGGTGACGCACTTTAGCGTCCTGAACGCGCCGCTAAACGATCACGAGGTTGCTCTGCACATGCGACTGGACAGCCAAGAGCTGACGCCGTACACATTCCCCATCGATCGAACGCTTCAAACGTTGGGGCTCATCCAAACGTGTGCCGAAACCATGTTCGGGCGAACGTTTATTACGAATTCTGTGCTCATCCGTCATTTGATGGTGGTGGCATTCATGGGCGCGGTGGAAACCCAGTGCGGAGCCATGTACGTGCTTGTGGACCTGGCGCCGGCGCTGAGCACCAAGCTAGTGGATGACGCGTTTGCCCGTGCATTTCCGTCGTCGACAACCCCATTTCTTGAAACGATTTGGGAAAATCTTGGCGCGATCTTGAATGTGTGGCCGCTTGAGCCATCGTCTGTGCACTGCCACACGCCTGTGATCGCGCAACCGGCGGCACTGAGCGCGATGAGTTTGGTGCAGGCGTACCTGGCGCTTATTCGAGCGTTGGCCAAGTCATGCGAGTGGCTCGACCGTACTCACGCGTTGCTGCTAACATCCTTGGACCAAATCGACAGCCCACGGGACATGAGCATGGTCCTGGCCAGTGTGGCAGTGCTCGGCGGTACGTACGATGGCGTGGGCATTGGAAGCCGCGTCCGGTGTTGTGTAAACATCGACGGCAAAGAGAGCATCGAAGTCGGGTCGGTGATCCAATTTCGACTCAAAGGAGACTCTCGTTTGGCGTGTGTTTTGTTTGACTGCGACAACAGTCGGCCCGTCGACGTTCCTATCAGCGACATCACTGTTGTGGATGACGATAACCATGGAGACGAATCGGCGGCGGCGACGCAGCACTTGTGGCACGCGGCCAAGCGGTCCATGCTCCTGGAACGATTGGAGAAGGTGCTCCAAAGGTGGTACGACATGGAGACAACTCCTGCCAGTGCGGTCACCCGGTACAAGCCACGGACAAAGACACAAGAAAAGGTCGAAGTGCTCGAGAGCGACCATCCCTATGCCAACAACACCGACACAACGTACACGCTGGACTTTCCTGGCGCGGACTCGATGGTGATTGTGTTTGATTCCATGACGTCGACCGAGTCGGAATGCGACTACGTTCGATTCCAGAAACGGGATGGAACCGGTGGAACGTACGGCGACGACAAATACAGCGGCCACCACTTTCCTGGTATCGGCTCCGTTCCCCCTCTGCACATTCCCGCTTCATCCGTCGATGTGGTCTTTCACACGGATAGCTCGAGCACCGACTGGGGCTTTCGTTTACACGCCACGGCAACGTCCCAATCTGTCGTGCTTCCACCTGAAATGCCTCCGTTGCCATCGCGGGGTGCATGGAGCGATCTTCGCGCGCGGGTGTTCAAAGTTCTCTCCCGCCATGCCCACATGTTGTCAACGTCGTGGAGCCAACCCTTGATGGGCGAATTGGCCCGCACCGCCGTGATGTCATACACGGGCCGGCCCTTGACATCGATGCCCAAGTCGCAAGTGTTTGAATCGAAACACCCGTATGCCAACTCGATCTCCGAGTACATGGCTGTCACGTTCAAGGGCGCCAGTATGCTCACGATATCGTTCGATCCGTTGTCTCGCACCGAGCACGGATGCGATTACGTCGTGTTCTTCAAGGACAAGTGCTTGGGCGATCGATGGGGTGAGCACCAGTACACTGGACGGGCGGGGTCGGAAAACTGGCCTGGCGTTGGCGGTCGACCACCGTTGGTCATCGCTGCCGAAGGGTTCACGTTGTTCTGGTGCACAGACAGCTCCAACGTCGACTGGGGCTGGAAGTTTATTGTGAAAGCAACGTTTCCGAGCATTTCACCGCTCGCGCTCTCGTCCGAGCAACTGAATCAACGAGCGTACCATGTCACTGAGATGCTGTACGAACAGATGCAGTATCAAGCGACGCCACCAGCGATCGATTTCGACGACTTTGAGCGCGACGACATGAGCACGGTCGAATCCCCGTCGGCGCTGCTAGTGCCCCCACCCCCACCGCATGCGATCACGGCATCCACATGGCACCGCATCCAACCGTTCGACAACGTCGGGCTGTATGACCGGCCGGACGACCGTGCCAATGTGGTCGATGTATTGACGCACAACATGCATGTCAAGGTTCTTGCGGCACAACTTGACTGGATCCAATTGGAAACCAAGAGTGGCGATGTCGGATGGACGCGCCAGCGCAAAGGCGACGTGTGGGTCGTGCATCCAGTCGACGCGATCGACGCTCGGTTGGACGAAGACACGGTTGTCCTTGGCATCGATGACGTTTCGCCACCGCATCCAGTTGTCGTCGACGACTCGAACGAAGAACAAGACGAGTTGGCCAACTTTGCGTCGCACTTCACGCTGGAAGAATTGAAAGGGCACACGCACAGACTGCACTCGATGGCGGTCGAGACGTACAATGCCATGTCGATACACAGCGCCCGACGAATCCTCGCGACGGTATTGTCCATGTTTCCGACGTGCCCCTTCACGTCGGCATCGACGACGCCGCAAGTTCTCCTCGAGTTGCTCGTCGTGTTTCTTACGCAACATGCGCTGTCCCCAGACGAACAGGCCAACCTCCAACTGCAGCTGTACAAATGGCTTGACTCGACGCCGGCGCTGTTGGCCAGCATCGTGTCGCACAGCACAGCCCTGCTCAACCACACGATGCTGTCCTTGACGTCGCATCAGCGAGCTATGGTTCGGACGGTCGAAAGCCCGCATCCGTACCATGATAACATGGACATGTACTGGCGAGTCGACATGCCCGGGGCCAAGCACATCAAGGTGGTGTTTGATTCACGCAGCAAGAGCGAGGCAGGATGCGACTGGTTGTGCTTTTATGCGGCTGGCGACCGGAGCATCACGTTTGGCGACGCGCAATACAGCGGCCGCGGGGGGACCGAAAATTGGCCGGGATTTGGCAACCGACCCCCGTTAGTGATCGAGAGCGACCGCTTTGAGGTGTACTTTCACTCGGACGGCAGTGGCACCGACTGGGGATGGGCGTTCACAGCATACGGGGTCGTGTCAGAGTTGGACACAACAACCACTGCTTCCCTGCGACCGGTGGACTTGGACAAAGCAGTCGTGGGGAGCTGGTTGCTCAAAGCGGTCACTGCCATGCCCACCAAGCCACTGCATGTCGTGGACGCAGTGCTGAACAATGCCACGGTGCTGCAAACGTGGGTCGATTGCATGAAGCTCATGCCGCGGTGCATCAAAATGGACGTGCTTGGTATGATCACAAACGTCGCGATCGATCATGCGACGTGGGAACGAATGGATCCATTCCATGCGAGGCTGTGGATGTCCATTCGCTCCCTCGTCAAGAAGCGCATGCGATCGCAACATAAATGTGAAGAGCGCCAGGAACTCAAGTCACCATACCTCCAAGCGCTCATCCAATGTGCCATGGCGCTCGACCACGCTGCGGAATCATGCGGGTTCCCTTCGATACCGTCAACAGTTGACGCTAAAGTCGACGTGCAGAAACCAGCGACCGCAACCGACGCCACGATTGCTTTCACAGCAGAGGTCAAGTCGCTGTCTGTACCGTTGGCAGAAAGTGGTCCGTTGGTGACATGGACATTCGTCGCGAAAGCAATTCGTGGCACGGTGATCCTTGGGCTGCAGGGACACAACGGATGGAACACGAATTGGAAGAACGTGGTCGATTCGAACGACGGCGACAAGGGCTACCAGATGCCGTCGCACATTCGAGTCGATCCGGGGCACTCGCTTTCGTTCATGCAGCGCGATGTTGTCCGCATGGAAGTCGACATCGTTCGCCATGTTGTGGTCGTCTTCCGGAACAATGCCGTTGTGTTTGACACATCCATTCCGCCGTCGTTGAAAGCGCTGCATCCTCTCGTGACCGTGTACGATCCCCACGACGTTGTCGTGGTGTCTGCGATCCCGTCCTGGCCGAATGAAGTCGAGTTTCCAGACCCTGCTTGGTACGTCAAAGCTATGGACAGCATGAGCGCTCTGTGGATGGAAGCAGCAGCGTACGACAAACGCACGGGACATCGCCGGGGCCCGTTTGTCGCGTCCCGAGAAAGCAGTCACCCGATGGCAGACGACGCATGGACAGACACAATTCGCATTCCAAACGCCACCAAGTTGGAGATCCGATTCGACCGCAAGACCCAACTTGACGCCAACGACTCGATCGTCCTGAGCAGCTCGTTGCACAATCAAGCAATCGTTCTGACCGGTTTGGACGGGAAAACCACACCAGACCATGCAGCATTTGGTCCGACAGAATCCCGGCTTTCGCTCAAGGCTGGAGATGTTGTTGTCCGACATGATCGCGATTGGATCTACGGCGACGAAGATGGCGGACCCGGCGAACGTGGCGTCGTGACCGAAATCGTGAGCTGGAAGTATCAGTCGGGGTCCGGGGTCAAGGTAAAATGGCGGCAAACCCAGCATGAAAACACATATCGGTATGGGTACAACGGATTTTTCGACGTGGTGCTCCTGTCCAGTGCCGTCGAGACAACCCTGCCGTCCGTGCTGTGGATCAAAGGCGACACGGTACAAGTGTCGGTGACACCATTCCGCCTGGCGAGTGGCAAAGAATCTCGGTTTCGAGGCAGCCTCGACTTCAACCGGCATACGTGCTTGGTGCTCTCAATCTGTCGTCCCCTCAAGTTATCCGACGACTTTACGATCCAGTTTTGGATCCGGCTGGCCGATTTCAAGGACGACAAGCGCGCACAAACGATTTTCGTGGCTGGGCACGCCGCCCCTACCTGCCTCCACTTGTCCGTATCGTCGGATTTCAGGTTCAGACTGTCGTACAAGTCGGACGACTTCATCGACAGTTTGGTGACGGACCCGCTCGTCCCTGCGTCGTACACATGGACGCATGTGGCGATCACCGCCAGTGGATCGGATGTGATCTTGTACAAGTGGGGCGACAAGTGGGCGTCGCATACGTTTTACGGTCGGCCGGGCTATACCACACCGTTTGACGTTATGCAGTGGGGCAATCATCACACTAGTTCATCCCCTGCGGCGACTCGCTTTGGTTTCAAGTCATTCGTTGGCATGGCGGGCCAATTGTACGATATTCAGGTCTGGGACTCCCCCCTGACATCGTCGGACATTCGCCAAATATTGTTTGACGAGCAAGCGCGCATGAACGAATTGTTCCAGCCACCACCGCAGCCGTACAACCCGTGGGCAACTGTCAACAACTCTGGAAAGGACTTTGTGAGTGTGCGGTCGACCGTTTGTGTCCAGCGAGGGAGCGCGTACTTTGAAGCGACGCTCATGAGCGGTGGCACAGTGTTGGTGGGATGGGTCGAAGCAGGGTGTACCTTGCGTCGGAAAACGGCGGGAATCGGAGACTGCTCGTCGTCGTATGCCATCGATGTCAACCGTCAGTGTATGTGGCACAACGGCCCAAGCCCGTTCTTGGTGCCGACGGCGGTCCGTGGCAATGCTGGGGATGTCGTGGGGTGTTTGGTGGAGTTGAATCGAGGGATCATGTCCTTCACATTGAATGGAGATCCGATTGGGGATTCGTTTACTGCCCCCAAGGCAACGACGTCCCCGACAAGGACTGGACAGCGACAAAGCGCGGCTCTCCTGAAGATAGCTCCAATGCTGTCTCCACGACATGCCCGGCCGACTTTGAGGCATTCGACCCCGCGAAGCATGGGCACCTACGAAGCCAAAGTGACCGAGCTCATGGCGATGGGATGCTCCCGACCAAAGGCGATCGAAGCGCTCGAACGAAATGAACAGAGTGTTCCTCGTGCTGTCGAGTGGTTGCTTCACCATCCTGAAGACAAAACGGATGCTAGTCACGTCGCAGGGCCTCCCGTTCTTTCGGTGGAAGATGCAACGCCAGTGCCAAACAAGTGGCTGGTTGGCAACGGCCTTCACCCAGCGGTATCGCTCAGTCCGATGGGAGCACAAGGCGTGGAATGGAACTTAGGCCAGTCTCCATTTGTGCATCCCCCAGATGACATATCGTCGGTCTGGTCGCACCGAAACCCGGCATGGACGAACGAACGTGCGCATGAATTTGAAGTGTTTGACTGGGGCGAAGACGGGTGGGAATCGATCAAAGTTCGCCATCGGTTGCTCAACAATGCGCCCCAGTTGTTGCATCGGTACGTGCTTGACGATGGCGAAGGACTCGAAGTGGAAGACTCCAAAGGCACGGCACCGGGGATGCTCATGTCGATTCTTGCCACAGCAAGCGGAGTGCCAGCGTCTATGAAGCCATGGAAAGGGTGGATTTATTCTCCGATTCACAACCAAGGGAGTGGTGCGTGGGGCTACAAATTCTCTGTGTTTGGTCACTTTCACCAGAACAGTGTTCCGAGGACTCGATTTGTGCTGCGAGGCGGGTACAACCCGTTGGAAACGCACCGACAAGCCACCATGCAACTTGTCGAGTACGTGAACCAGAAGAATCGACACATGGACGCCGCACATCTCGTGCGCGCTACGTGGGCAGAATTCGCCCTGTGCGATGAAGATTGGGCGCGGTGGCCACTGCTGTGTGAAATGGTGTCGGGGGCATCACCGGCACCCGATTCCACGCACGAATTCAACCAAACCAAGTTGGCGCAGTGCTTCAAATGGTTACAAGACTTCAATTTGGCCATGTATCGCTTGTTACCTTTCGTGCACTTTGTCGCGCCCGTCGGACAAGTCGCATCAAATGAGCTCACGCTGTCGTCCATGATCAGTGCATGTCGGAGCCTCATCTTCCACACGCTCAAAAAAGGTTTATGGGACGATTGCCTCAAGCGCACCCAGCGGTCGGGAGCGTCGCTCGAAGTGACGCTGAACCGACCAAAAGCAATGCGGCATCGCGACGCGGGACTTGTTGACATGGACGCGCGGACAACGCTGTTTGGCCAAGCATTTCGCCAGCTCAACTCGAGCGAGAACCACCATTTTCGACGGTCGGACAACGTGTACTATGTCAAGTTTCTTGGCGAAAACGCTGAAGATGCGGGTGGGCCGTACCGAGAAACGTTTGCTCAATACGCGGCCGAGCTGCACTCGACGCAGATCCCCATGATGCTACGGACGCCCAACGCGGCCCACAACGTTGGCACCGGGCGTGAAAAATGGGTCCTCAACCCCACGGCGTTTTCGTCGGTGCGTTTGCGGCGCCGATTGTTTACGTTCTTGGGAAAACTCATGGGCGCGAGCGTCCGAAGCAAAGACTTTCTCGCGCTGGATATGGCAGGGCTGATGTGGAAGTTGCTTGTGAACGACGACATGTCAGTTGGCATCGACGATCTCGCCGCGCTGGACAAGATGCTCGTCCAGTCGATGCACAAGATGAGGTCCATTGATCAACTTGGTGTGACGGAAGAAATGTTTGAAGAGATTGTGCTGGAAACGTTCACAACGTTGTCGACGGACAATCGAGTGGTCGAGATTAAACCGAACGGCAGCTCGATTGCAGTCGCGTTTAGCACCCGCATCGAGTTCGCCGACTTGGTCGAGCATTACCGGCTCCACGAATTCGACGTCGTCGTCAAGTACGTCCAGGAGGGGGTGGGCAAGGTGCTCCCGTTAAACTTGATGAGTTTGTTCACGGCGTCCGAGTTTGAGTCGATGGTGTGCGGTTCCCCCGAAGTCGACGTTGACCTGCTGGCCCAATGCACTGAGTACAGTTTGTGCGCCGCCACAGACACTCACGTTGTATGGTTCTGGAACACCCTGCGCAAGTTTTCGCACGACGAACGGAGTGCATTTTTGCGATTCGTGTGGGGTCGATCTCGCTTACCGCATTCTGCCGCAGAATTCCCGCAATGGTTCAAGCTCCAGTCGTTCAACAAGAGCCCCGCGGATACGTACCTGCCAGTGGCGCACACGTGTTTTTTCGCGCTCGAGCTACCTGCGTACACAAACGAAGAGCTCTTGATGAAAAAGCTCTTGTATGCGATTTACAACTGCCAGGAGATCGACGCGGACGGCGACAGCGTGGCGGCAAACCAGCTCGGGTGGGACGAGTAGAAAATTAAACAGTACGCAGCACACCCATGGGCACGAAAGGTGCGCCGTGGTTTTGTACCAACGTTAAAATCCCAATCCCCCGACAGTCACGATGCAATACATCGTGCGATTGTGTTCTTTGTGCTTGTCGCTTGGCCACTTCACGACGTGAGCTCCTAGAAAAACGATTGAAAGCGCTGGCATGGACCACTTGCAAGTACCATCGATAGCAGTGTCCCAGTGGCAGGACACGGCAGAGTGAATACCAGCTCCGTTCTTTTGCATGATCACGCAGCTGACTGCGATAGATGAGCATGGCAAACGGACTGTCGTGGCGTACCAATATACTTCAGTGGTTTGCGCAAGTCGCTCAGCCCTTTCATGATCCCATCACAGATCGAGTCGACCCAGTGCGACACCTCGTTCTCGTCGTATGTTTGGTCTTTTAAAAAGTGCTCGACGGACTGCCACATCCGATCGTGAGCATCGACGACGTTAGGAAAGACCAACCTGAAGAATAATGCGGTCGACTTCTTCCGCGACGAATGCTAGCTACGTCATAGACGGGTCTCCATAAGGAGCGACGACTCATCGTGGCGACATTCAACTTACTTCTTCCGACGACTGGAGATCATCCACCATCGCTGCTGTGTTGGCGGCGGCGACGAGAAGTGGTCGTGTGACCTTTCGTCAAGATCGCGGAAAGTGGCCACGGATTGGCCAGAATCTGTCGAAGCTATGTGCTGGTGTTGAAGCCATTTGAAACGTGTGAAATTACTCGACGTGGCACTCCAGCCATCGTGGAAAGCGCCAAGAGACGATACGTCGAAAGAGTTTGTTAGATGCTGATAGCGTTTGCCATAGTCTGCTACTCCACAAAGTGATTGTAGACGTTGTGATAGTCCCAGTGACGTGCAAGAGATGGAATGTGGACTTGGCACTGGTGCACGAACGATGCCACGTCGTCGTCGCCAGCGCCATAGTCAAACTTGTCTAGGATCGACGGAATGTCGTCGGCCGCGACGTGGCTTGTCTTGAGCAACAAGCCAAGTTTCGATGCGTCCCACGATGGAGGCGACGACGGCGGCATCGCTTGTAAGACTCGAAAGGCACGTGCCAATCCCCTCGGAAACGGCGCCAAGCTCGCGTGCAACGCAGTTGCAATCTCCGTTGGGTACGTCGACATGCACCAATGCAACAAAAACTGCGCCATGTACACGCGTCCATCCTGACCAAACATATCGTACAGGCAGTCCTTTACGACAGCGGGTTGGTCGACAACGGGGTCAAACCACATGGCCAGCGTGGTGAACACATTTTTCGTCCAGAACATATCTGCAATCGTCGACGACGGCTTGTCATGCTTCGCTTGGGATAACAGAGCACGCAACTGCTTTGTTCGTGGCGGTGGCACCCACTGGGCAACGAACACACTCAGACAAAATCGCCGCCAGTCCACTCGATTTGGTCCGGCACAAAATGGTAGCGCCCCACGCGAGATTCGTGCAAAGTTGGTCCAGCTATCGGGAAACAGTGGCTCGTCGCGGACACGTTCGTTGTGCCGAATGGCTGTTTCACGCACAATCTTGCTGAAATGGGACAGCTCGACGATGCCATTGTCTTGGTGGGGAGACGACGAGAGCGCTTTGACGAGCACAACGACGTGATGAAGGTGCAAAAACGATTCGTGGCCACGTATATCGACGTTGTGACGAATCCATGGTGTGGTGAGGTTTTGAGAACGGGGCCACGTCGCGGCTGGACCACGGGATGGTTGTTGCGGCGGTGGAGGTTGCATCAGCTCTTTTAGAACGTGCTGAATGCATGCATGTTCTTGCCGCAGATATTCGACCGTGACGTTGTTCAAGCTTTGGCGTTCCAATACGTCGATAGATTCGACACGTCGAACGAGCTGCGCGACAAATTCAATGGCGGCAAGGACTCGTCGAAGGATCAGCGCTCGTTCATTCCAAACAATGCGATGTCGTCGAGCGTCACCGCTGTGACAATTGGTCGCCACCACCCGGGACGGTAAGCTTCTCGCAGCATCCGCCTCCAGTGGGGGTTGCACCGCTTCCGATTCTGTCAGCGCAGTAACGGTGGAAGCGTCCTCGGGGAGTGCCGCAGGACGTGGCGGTACGAACGCGGCGAGTGGAGCAAGAAGGGAATCAAAGCGAGAATTTGAACAAGCTCGTACAAGTGCATCCATGAGCGGTTGCACGTTTGACGGAACGGACGTCGAGTCCGGTCGCTCCGGCAGCGCGATGTTTTCAACCTGGTAAAAATACACGTCCAGTGCCGCCGCGCGGCTTTCCAATGCACTCAGTTCACATGCCACAAGTTGTTCGAGCCACTCGTTCACGTGAGCCATCATCGTGGAGGGGGATAGCAGGGGCTGTCGCGCACGGAGGAATTCGTTGGCGGCTTTGCAAGATGCATCGACCATGTCGCCCAACGTGACTTCGAGGGCGGACGTCAATTTCTAGCTCATTCTCCATGAGTCTGTACGTAGCATCCCCCCGTCAACATGAAAGCAAACGTCACCTTGGTTTGCATCCGTTGGTTGGTGCTAGTCAGTGCTCGCAACGTTTGGGCAGTCGAGTCAATGTGGCGCTGCTGGCCACAACCACAAAGAGCGTTGCAAAATGACGTCCGTAGCTCACAAACGTGTTCCGAGAGCTGCAGGAAGCAATCGTAAAGGTCTGCAAAGAGGGCCTTTCGCTTGGATTGAATGGCATGCACGCCCTGCGATGGTTGAATCAGTTCCGACGTGTGTCTCACGGTTGAGTTGGTGTACCTGCACAGCCAGTGTGTCGTACAATGTTGCAAACAATTCCTGGGGCAAGGGGGGACGTTCTCCGGCCAGTTCTTGCGTGTACAAGAGCTCCGGGAGTTGAAAAGTCGCCCGTCGTTCTTGCTTGGCTTGTTCAAGTGTGTGGGAAAATGCATCTTTGTCTCGTGCGTTGGACGCATGCAGAGACAACTGCGCGTCTGGCGCGGCGACGAGCTCCAACAGCAAATGCAGCACTTCCGCCGTGGCAAATGCAGTGGACGTTGTTGGATCGATCTATCAAAACATGTCGACGGTGATATGCATCGCGTTGATTCGACGATGGAGCCGCACCGTGTAAACGCATCCAAATGGTTTCCAGAACGCGGTGAGCGCGGCTTGGAGTGCTTTCCACGACGCTATTTTGGTGTGGAGCGCTTCCTTGGCAGACTCATCCAGAGAAGTGGCAAGCGCTGCTTCATCCGACGCATCCACGAAAACGACCCAATCGATGCTGGACACTGGCGGCGGTCGCGCAAGCAGGTCGGCTTCCGACAACGAAGTCTTGTCATCCAGAACAGGATGGAGCTGGCTCACGCGGGCGGTACACTCGACATCACTCAAATGCGTCAACCGCCGGACCATCTCGACCTCGAACACTTTGGCTTCGTCTCTCGACCTGCGCAACAAGAACGCCATGACATCGTCCGTCTCCACCTGCGACTCTACCTTGGAAAATTCAATAGAATACACCCGACAAACGATGCTGGAGGATGCACAAACATCCAAACCACTGCCTTATTCACAACATCGCTGACGATTGCGTCGGAGACCACACTGTTTTTGGCCCGCAACGCCAGAATTTTAGAGCCCAGTGCCGCCAACTCGGACTAGCACGATCCGCGTGAGAAGAACCCGTGCGTATCGCTCGAACCAACCTCGTACGGGCTCAACTTCTCGCCGCCTTTGACCCGTTCGCCGAGCTTGACAGCCTTGTCGACGCAGGAGTCGATGGTGACAAGTTGTAAGTCCGTGTCGTCGGCGAGCGCTTTTGCCACGCCGCAGGTCGGGTCCTTGGCGTACCAGCACAAGAGAAACGGACGCGAGAGCGGCTTCCACTTCGCCGTGACAATGTCGTCCCGCGACTTGGAACTGAGGTCATGCAACGTGGTCACCACCACGTCGATGTCGTGTGACGGTGGGGTGTCCGTCGGGCCAAATGCGGGGGCATCGAATGCCCCCGTTCCTTGCATGTAGTTGGAGAGCAGCATGGCTACCTCCGTGCCGCTGTGGCCCTTGGCTGTGTGGGCATTTTTCTTTGGCTTGGGGGTCACCGTCCCATCAACAAACGCTTGTTTAAGAGCGCGGTACGTTTGCGGCGCCATGGGGGCTTTCGACATGGCACTCCTACTCACGCGATGGGAGACGCCTCGTCGTCCGGCCGCCCCTCGATTTCAGTAGGTGGTTTTACCTGTGCACAATCATGACCCATACCATATCGATCAAAGTGTGCACGACTTCTCGGCATGCGTGCACATGACCTTCATGTCGTTTCAATGCAGCGGCCATGGTTGCTTCTTTGGCTGCGCGGGCTTGAACTTCCTTCTCCCGAACGCGGGGCGTCGCCGTAGCTACGACATGCAAAACGTCGAGGCTGTTTTTGACCGCCGCTTCCATTCGCATCGAAGCTTCTTCTACTCGGGTTGCTAACTGCGTCGCTCTGACCGCTTTGGCATGAGTGTGGTCGTGCTGTTCTTGCCATAGCACAGCCAGTACTTCGCGCCTGCCCTTGCCAACGTGCAAGAGGCGATTCAGCAACTGCGTTTCCTCTTGTTTCCGGTGAATCTATCGAGTGTTCAAGCCAAGGGAGGTGAGGTCCGAGCTTGCGGGTGGGTGGCTCAAACCTCGATTGTGTTGCGAGTCTGATCGACGAGCATCTTCCGCCGCCGGCTCGCGCGCTCTTTGTGGGCACTCAAGTGGACTTTTCGCCGTTCTCGGAGCTCTTTCATCATCTGGACGTTGCTCGCCGGGCGAAATTGACACGCCTCCACGCGTGTCTCCAACGTGGCGACGTGCTCGAGCCCGGTGCCTTGAATCGGAGCGAGTCGCGCATTCGAGTCTTCGTCGCCGGTGCTAATGCCAAGCCGTTTAAAGTTCTTCTCAAAACCTGCAACGCCATCGTGGAGATCCGCGGCCGCCCGGTCGTTTTGCTGGACCACGACGAGGCGGCGCTTCTCGCGGAGGCTCAGTTCAAACTGGAGCTCCGTCGCTTCACGGGTGGATTGCACCGCCTAGGGACGCGCATGTCGTCCGTCAGCAACGTTGGAGCGAGTCGCACGGGATCGTACTTGGTTGAGAGCCCATGCCTTTTCGCCGTTGTCCGTCCACTGCTGCAGAAACTTTTGTTTTTCGTGGGTATGGGTTTGTTCATCGTGTCGGCGCTCTGCGCTCGCGGCCGCCGACGCTTGCGATTTCGACGCAAGGTGCTATGGACACAAACACACGAACGGTGGTGTACTTGCTGCCTATGATACACGAAATCGTCTTACCGCGGCAGTGGCATCGTCCGACTGCCACATAAATTCCGAGAACTTGCGCAAGTGAATGGCCATGTCGATGCGGTTGTGGTTGTTCACGTCGGCAGGGTCGACGGATTTGATCAAGGTTTCGACAAAGCGCTCTGTCGTGTCCTATCCAGGTAAGGCCCAGATCAACATCGCATTTGCACAGCTTCCAATAACGGACATGGGGATCGGTAGTGGGAAGGTGGCGATTGCCGTTGGCAGGTGGCCGAACCGACAAGGTCGATGGCACGACGTGCTTGGCCTTGGTCTTGCGCTTCTCCATGTGCGTGTGAAGATCCATCAAGACCTGCCATGCCGCGACGAACACTGCCGTCAACGACGATGGCATCCAGGCAAGGCATACCTTGGTCGCAGCGCCTTTCTTCTCCATCATGATGCCTCGCGCGATGTCGACGGTGAATGGAATTCCGTGCGACCGCAATGCAATCGACAGCTGCTCCATGTTGCCCACCATGGCTGCGACTGTGTCGTTGTCGACATACCCTGCCGGGAACGAAAGGTCCACCTCGAGCTCTCGCAGCACTTGACCAAGCAAGTAGCCATTGCTCAGGTCCTTCTCGACGGACGTGACACGACGATCGAGGTGCAAGTCGCGATTGAGCCATTCGATCAGGAGCGCCGACATCGCGGCGGCGACACGGTGCCGAGCGACAGAGTTTTTGACGAAACCGATGCAAACTCGAGCCGTTTCGCGACCGTTTCGCGGCTCGCACTCGGATAGAATTGTGTTTTTAGTTCAAGGAAATGACGGCTAGTAAGTGAATCGTTTAAGCCTCACGACGATTCCGGGGATGCGGCGGGCGCTCTAGACGGCCGCACACGGCGCGTGAACATCAGACAAGTCCAGGGTTGATCTCGCACCCGCCAGACAATCGCTTCTTGGTCTCTTGGGCGCGCTTGAAAAACCGAGCATCTTTTTCCGCTTGCGCCCTTCGTTGGCCCTCAATGTACTCTTGCTGCTGATGGAGTTTGGCAAGCTCCCGTCGTTCCTTTTCCATGAGCCACGCTTGGAGTTTCATTTGTTTCTTCATCGCTTTCTCGGCCTCTTTGACTTCGTCCTCTTCCGTCCGCTTTGGTGGTGCATCGACATGCCACGCCGTCTCGCTGTCGTCAGCGTTCGAGGATTTACCGCGGACCCGGAACGACACTTCCGTCGTCACTTTGTTTGGGGTCAAAGCTACAAAAATGTCGACGCATCAACGGCCGAGAACCTCGTCAGGAAGAGATACACTTGGTGCGGGGCCGTGACGCCCCCAGAGCGGACGGACGGGGCATACATGGAGCGGTTGCATTGCCTTTGGATGACGCCGTTGGAAGCGACTTGAACGACAAGTCCATGATTGATTTGAGTTCGTCTTCTTCGATTTCAAACTTGAAGAATCGATCAGAAGCTTCCTTGAGGCGCCAAAGCACCCCTTCCAGGGTCTACCTCCCACCACAGCGTGTCAACCCATCGAGTACTCTTTCGACGAGCTGCGAGGAATACCTGTGCTTGTTGGCGATAACCTTGATCGTCTTGGTTATTCCCGGACGGTGGCGCGCTCGTATTGTTGTCGGTTGATTGTGGGGGTCGTGCCGGTCGGCCACCGCCCTCGTCCAGCTGCCGCCTCAGTTTTGCATTCGCTTCTTTCATGTCAGCGTTTTCTTTGAGCAGTCGAACCAGAGTGGATTCGCGGGCTGTGTCGCTCTGTCCGCTCGTAGCTGACCCGGCAGTCCCGAGGGTTCCGTTCGCCACCTCAAACGCGGCCACGATAGCACGAAGGGATTCGATCTCGTGCTCGAGCTTTTCGACGTACGCCGGGTCGATTTCGCGCTGCTCGTTGACTCGCACGCATACCATGACCTAACTCACACATGAGATCGCAGCTGCATGGTCGACAAGCCGTGATACGAACAGCCCTCTGTTCGGTCGCGAACTCGTCGATGGATCGATTGTGTCGACGTGTACCTGCTTGGCCCGGTCGGCGAACTTCAGAGTGGACACGGACTCATCGATGCAATCCAAGGAGGGGGACAGGGTCGCGATGATGCGGGTCTTTGTGTTGCCGCCAAGACTATCTTGCAACAACCGCGTGAGCTTCGAGTCACGATATGGCACATGGCCGTTGTTCTGCACACAACACCAGCAACGTCAGTGCGTCGAGATTGGGACGTCGGTGGCAGGCCAACCTTGGTTGTAAGGGACGCGATGCACCGCCCAAGCGTGTGGAGACTGAGGTTGATGTTGGTCATCTCCGATATGTGAAAGTACTGCGCCAACACCAGGTCAACTCAAAACGAATGTGCCGCTGAGGAACGTACCTGCATGTTGGCGTCGGCGTGCCATTTCTCCGACCCGGCCAAGTCGACCAGGTTGAATTTCGACTTGATCGTGGTGCCGTCGGTTTTCTTCACCTCGAGGAAGAGCTGGAACGCGCTGTGGCTTCGCGAACTCACGTGGTTCATGTGAGTGGCTCGGACGGCGCGATGGTCCTCGCCCGCTTGGAGGAGCGCGAGACAGTCGTGAACGTTCTGCACGGCGTACTCGGACAGCCCTTCCACAAAGATTCCGTTCACGTGGTCTTCGTGGATCGCGAGGGGTTTGTCCATGTTGCCATCGCGCAGCAAGTCGTAGATGTTTTCGTTGTAGATTTGAACAAACGAACAATAGACGGCCGCTTGTTGTGCTCCGCTCGCGTTCTTCTTGATGACGCCAGCAAAGATGTCCTTGATCGCTCGGGGAATGACCCCCGCCTGTCACCTCCATGAGTCATGGGCACGCAGAAATCGCCCGCCAAGACGGACCAGGCACGTCGGCGTCATTGCCTGTCGATGGAGACGGCCTTTCAACGACATGGACTCACCTGGCTCTTGGCCAGCCCCGGGCGAAACCGAGACAAGTCTGTCTCGGCGCCAAACATGGTAAACGACTTGCCGCTGCCAGTTTGGCCGTACGCGAACAAAGTCGCGTTGAATCCGTCCAGGAACGATTCCGTACATTCTTTCACGCGATCATACACGTCGTCCTGAGATGCGGACGGACCAAACACCGCGTCGTACTTGCACTTGATGTTGGAGTCGGCAGTTTGTACCTCGATGGTCTACGAATGGACGACGGACAGGTCGACGCACATGGAGGTTGCCCACCGGCATGTGACGTACCTGGTCGCCCGTGGTGCGGATGAAGTGCTGGGCAGCAGGGTCGGGGCCAGTTTCCCGGTCGATGAGCGGACGAATGCGAATAAACACTTGGATGTTTTCGGACTCTCCGCCACGTCTGGATACGCTGCTGGTACTGCCAGCGACTACACTGGCGGAAGGAGCAGGCGTTACCGCGCTGCTTGGCGATGGCTTCGGAGGAGCCGATGGTTTGTCCAGCTTCTTGCCCGTGGACGACGTGGCGCTCCCGTGCGGCATGGACGAATCCTTGGCGAGCTGACACAGATGGGGAACTTTTGGATCGGACCAAGTCTGGCCGCAACATGGCGCGGAAGCACTCGACATGCCTGGAGAGTACTCCAGCCGCGTATTTCGAGCCGCCGTTTCAGCCAGTCTTTCTGCAGTTTCGTTTTGTTGTGGAGTCCTCCACATCTCTGCTAGTATTAAGTTCATCCTCGCGTTCACAACGAAGCCGCGGCACACTCAACGTAATGTTCACTGTATCAATAGAAGCGCTCACGGCTGCGTCGCAGAACGCCCTTTGTATTACCCTCAGCCACAACCATCCTTAGAGCTCACTCATCTCGGCCGCGGAGTGCCACCGTTGGCGATGGCCGGCACGCCCTTCGCTCCCTAGAGTCTCAAGAACGTGCATGTGCATGAGGAGTTGCATGCTTCACCGAAGTAAACCCAGCCGCCAGAGGTTGATGCGTTGTGAGTCAGCTGCAGTAGCCACATCAGGGCCGCGTTGCTGCGCTCCATGGTGAAGCGCCGTGCATCTTTGTGCTGGTGAATTTCACTGGCAATTTGTTGTCCAATCGCAACAACGCTCGTGCCTTGCTTAGTACATACTAGATTCAAGATAGTAGGTACCGAGGTGCTCTTCAGATGTGTTCGCAATTAGCTCCACATCTCGGGATGGGCGATGAACACCGACTAGGTTAGACGGAGCCCACGTAATTGGGATGAATAAGATAAGATTACACGACTGCACTAGTCGACAGAATAAAGTACAACGGGCGAGAACACCCAAGATCACATGCACCACAGGCTTTTGCGGTGGTCCGCCAGCAAGTCCGAAAGTCGGAAGAGCTGGTGGAGACGCGGGCGGACATCCGATAAGTTCAGGAGGTTCATGAGCACCTTGGTCAGCGAATCTAGAGTCTTGTCGTGGATGTCGTCGTAGAAGCTCGGGACAGGAATGCCATTGCTAGGTTGCGGAAGGAACGACACCGGGTTGTTGTCCACGAGGACAACCTTGGACAGATCGGACCGAACCGAACGCAAGTCCTTCATGAAGAACCCGCTCTTGAGAGTGCACGACGTACGGAAGAAATGACCTTTGAAGAGGCTCTTCGAAGGGTCGAGTGCCTCCAAAATCGGCCGGCCGTACATTTCGAGACCCGCCGTGAACACGTACACGTCGAAATGCTGGCTCGCTTTCTGGAGGAATGCATCAAGTCCAGGACGCTTGTTCACGACCACTTTCTCGCCATCGTCCATGATAACCTCAAAGCGCTCAGGGTAATCCTCGCTCGTTTCGGGGCGAGCTTCATCTTGTCGGTAGTCCTTCTTCGATTTGATCTTGGTGTGGACTAAGCATTCATCCATATCGAGAACGAGGGCGATGCGCTCACTTCGGACGTCCGGCAAGGGCATGAAGGTGTCGTTCATGTTGGACGTGATGGGGTAGTGCGCAACGGTCGCCGTCATGGTGAAACAGTACGGGAGGTGGAGCAGATCGCCGAGGGGACACGGAACGCGCGCGTAGTCCTTTGAAAAACGAATTATGAGCGCACGGTGCCGGCATGCGGCAACAATCATGTGGGGACAAACCATCGGGGCAAACCTTTGAAGTCGCCAGTTTTCGAACTTTTCACGGGCGCGACCAGATGGAACGAGGAGGTTTTGCCCTGACCGTCATTCACACTAAATCGAGCCAATCAGGTGCACGTCTTCGTAATTCTCGTGTTCTAGTTCAAGTCTTTGGCCAATCAGCGCGCGACTTGTGACTGCGATGTCACTTTCCAGCGAACGATCAGTAGCCAATCCGAAGGCTTTACGATTTTGATTGGCCAATCACAGCGTATCGGCCTCCCAGGCCTCGGCCAATGAGAAGCCATACAAATTAAATACACTGCCCAGCACGCGACGTCACGTCCTGTGGAATATTATATATGTACATTTTCGCAGAAACGGATGCCGTCGAGGCTCTACCAAAGCTGCCTTTCATCTGCAGAGCGAATTCTCTGCAGATGGCGCCTCGCAGGAGTCGCCGCCGCTCCGCATCACGAGTGACGGCCAACCGGCAAGCACGGTGCTCTCAATGTCGGTTCGAGTAGCTAGAGCCATGTCGCGCTGACGACACTGGCGATCGAGCCAGGAAACCACTGATGACGTTGTACGAGCAGCTACAGCGTGTCCCACGGTCTCGTCGAGCGCACCGTGATACATGTTTGCGGAAGCTCCTCGCGGCGTTAGCGCGACGGCACGACGCCACACCGCCGCGACGGACGTGGAGCAGTTATGGAATACATACCGAGAGGACATTGAGCCGTAAACGCCTCCAACTGGTGAGGGCGATGGGGGACGAAACTTCCGGAAGGTGCGGGTCGTTTCAAATTGATGTGCTTGCAACGCGTGCCTGGATCGCGAAGGATCTCGAAGGTGTCGGCGGCGATGGAGTCCTTCGTAGCTGCTTTGCCAGTGCGCCGCACACGCTCCGAAAATGTCACATCGCCCCACGGTCAAGTGAATCGTATGGGAGATGGGAAGCTCCGCCGAAATGACCCAGTCATGGGTCGTCGGTGGAACCATGTCACCGACGAGGCCACCTTGCGACAGCGATCTGCGATCAAGCATTTCCCAAACGTGCCTCTATGTAGCGCCAAAAACACGCTGCGGTGCATGTGCTATTCCTCTTCCGCTGCGTGGGGTCGACCTCCTCGCCTTTGTCCCAAACATTACACAGTACCATGTCAACTGTTCTACGACACCACGACGTACAGTAACAAACGTAAAAATGCGCGGCTTCACGCCACATGGCACGCCAGCGCGACGAGGAGGTCCAGCGGCGCCATCGCGGCGCAAGGAGGGAAGGTTGGTTGGGACTGCGGTTTGGGAAGGCGCCTCCGCTTTGCGCTGCGGAATTCAGAGGACACCGCCATTGATTCGTCGTCGTCGCTGGCAACAACATGGTTGCTTTCTTTGAGGAAGGCTTCCTCGAGTTGTTTGAGCTCCTTCTTGCGAAGGCGGCGCATTTCTGGTGTGAGGCCCGACAGCACGGACGCTGTCGGATCGTATCGGTGCATGCCAAGAATCCCGGACGACTTGTCAAACTTCTTGCTCAGTCGCATGGGCAAGCAATTGAGCTTGGCGCTGAGGTACTGGCGCAGCAGAATTCCAGCCGTGGCGTCTGGCAGGAGGCCGTCTTTGAAGTCGGCCGACAACCGAAGTGTGTACTCCATCTCAGCGTCTGTCCATCCCCCGGACCGCCAACTTCGCTTGGACGACGTTGTCGTGTGCAGTCTGGGCTTGCGAACGGAAGCAACGCCTTCGGAAGCTCGGGACGGCGTGTGAGGCAATGGGGTGATCGAAGGAACGTCAGGGGTGATGAGGTAGTCGATGCGAAGCTTGGGGTGGCATTGCGGCGGCGACGCGGGAAGGGACGACAACGCGGCAGTCGGGTTCATCGTGGGCAATGCTACGGACTGGGTCAGTGCGCGTGTTGTGGGTGGAAAGAGATTCTAACCTGATTCAACCGAGTCAACGCCAAGCCAATGACACTTCAACTTAATATGTCGCGCGTCCACTGTGCGAGGTGGCTTTGGCAACTTCAACCTTGTCGAGGTGGCATGCCACTCTCTTCATGGATCTCTTCACTCTCAATGGCATAAAAGTCTATTTGCATACATCACTCTCCCAATCGCTCTCCCTTCCGTTTGAAGTGCCAGGGCCGGGGAAGAACCCACGTTCAATGTCACATTCGGTGGCGCCAGCCGCGACCAGCCTCGAAGAAAGCGCAACGGCGACCTGTGCTTGTAGCCACACAATGCTACCACGGGTGCGATCTTGGCATCACAAGCGACGATAGATCTTGCATTGGCGACGAATGCGGCATGGGTGGACTGGAATCCAACGCCGTCGAACACACATATGAAAACAGAGCGCAGCAGTCGACACCAGGCTCTACCCAACTCGCCAGTGCACACAACTCTAGGTGACGTCGGCAGGTCGCCGACGGTCGAGTTTCGCCATCGTGCCAAGCACCAAACGAGGCGATGAGTGGTGGGGCTTTGCAGGATCCGTGTCTCTTGGGGAGCCCAGATTTGCCAATGCAGGTTCGGGTTCAAGGCCACGCGCGGGTCCTTCGGTGGGATTGCCCGCGTTTGCATCCTTCGAGCTGTGGGAGCAGTTGACGCTTTCAACTTGGACTGGTGAAAGCATGATATGCAGTCCACTACTTTGTGACGGTGGTGGGTTCTCTTGGGTGGACAGTGGCCCCTCGGCGCTACGTTCCACTGCTTCGTCCTGAACAGGCGGCGGCGTGGGATTCGTTGCGAACGAATTCAGTTGATTGTCGTCGAGCGCCGCGTTTTCACCGACACCATCGACGATGACGATGCCCGATGCGATGGGAGATGCAGGACAGTCCTTGGGGACGACATGGCATGTTGTCGGTTTGCAGCCGTCCTTGGGTCCGACAAGCGACCGTTTGAGCCAAAACGACCCCTTCACGTGATGTTCATAATGGCATGCCCGTTCCCGCGCTACCTTTGCTTCAGCTACAATTCGCTGCAGCTCGCTCTCAAGATGGTTGCGCGAGGCTTGGGCACTTTTCCGCTTGGACTTGTCGTCGTTGCGTTTGTGATTGAGGAACGCCATCGCCCGGTCGGTGTCGCTCCCGCGTAATTCGTGCGTGGTCAATCCTAAAGCAGCTTTTCGATGGTACCATCGATTTCTCGCGGCCATGGTGTGTTCTTGCGCCTTTCGCATGCGGAGACAGCGCATCGCTGCTGTTGTTTCAGCCAACCGTTCGTGGCGGTCCATGGGTCTTGAGCTGGCCATACCACATCGTCGCCACTCGCGCTTGGCCTGTTGTTTCAGCGCGTCGTCCTCTACTGCTTTCATCTTGGCTTTCTTCATGCGGGCATTCCAGGTAGCCACACGCTTTGCCGCGATTTTGGCCGCGATACACGCTGGATCGTCACGAACATCGTCCATTTTCAAAGGCGCAATTCCTCGGCGTCGCATTGTCCCGTCGGGACAACCCCCAGGTGCGATACACTCGTCTCGACGAAAACAATGCTTGAGAATTGTGGCTTCGTCGTACGAGTTGGACACTAGATGCAAGGGCGGTGACGGTAGAATGTCCTTGAATTCTGGTGAATCGACCCTCGCGCTGGAATATCCATCGTCAGACGCATTCGATCTTGGTTCAAGAGCGAGCGTCTTGACGTCGGTGCTATCCCCACGACAAGTGGGTCCAGCCGATGCGAGAGGAGCAGAGATTCCAGCAGTGTCGACTGCATCGACTGCTCTTGGCTGTCGCGCAAGGGGAGTGGCAGGAGCGTCGACCTCAAAGTCGCCGTCCCCATACTCGTCGCAGTCATCCGCCATTTGAGAAGGTTGGATGTGAAAATGAAGCACCTCAACGAATGCGGTCTATTTTTAAGCTGCACGTATCTCGTGCAAGAGAAGCAACCCATCGCGCCTTAAACGAAACCGCGCAGGCTCTCCTTGCGCTGGACAACTTGACGAATCCAATTCCATCTTGTCGACTCCAAAATCGCCGTCGTCGTCCTCGTCTGTGCTATCGTGATCGATGCTGACGATACAACGACGAGCCTCATTTCGACGCAAACGTCAGCGAACGTTGAAAGGACAGGACCAACCTCGATGTCGGGACAAGTTGGTCGCCGTCGCAACGTTAACATACCCTTCGTCGCCGCGTAAAGACGTCATTCCATCGGCCACAGGCCACGGGGATCGGCAGTAAATGCACGTGAGCTACCACGGCGCGACGTAAGGCTTCAACCCACTCACACACTTGCAGCAACCAACTGTACCTGGGCAACCATGGCGCGCCGCGACTTTTCCCACTGGGTGAAGCACTCGGCGTGGATGTTGTTGCCGCATTGCTCTTTGCACGACACTACCGGTCGTCCGTCCGCGAGCGCTTCAAAGCAGACAGGGCAATTCGAGTCTTCCAGGGGTTTCTGTTGGACACCGTCCGACTCGTCGTCGCTGCCGGCAGCCAACTTCGCGGTCGCAGCGCGATAGCGGTCCACAATTGTTTCAGTGGCGATCACCGCCAACTTCGCGGTCGCAGCGCGATAGCGGTCCATAATTGTTTTAGTGGCGAGCACCGTCGGTTCGACTTTGGTAGCTGCCTCAAAAATTTCGCGCAATTCGGTCGTCAACAACG